AATGATACACAATGATACATAATGATATCTAAAATGATACATAATGATACATAATGTTATGTAAAATGGTACCCAATGTTATCTAAAATGATACCCAATGATATCTAAAATGATACATAATGATACATAATGATATCTAAAATGATACATAATGATACATAATGATACATAAAGATACATAATGATATCTAAAATGATACACAATGATACATAATGATATCTAAAATGATACACAATGATACATAATGATATCTAAAATGATACATAATGATACACAATGATATCTAAAATGATACAAAATGATACAAAAATGATACATAATGATACATAATGATATCTAAAATGATACATAATGATACATAATGATACAAAATGATATCTAAAATGATATCTAAAATGATACATAATGATACATAATGATACATAATGATATCTAAAATGATACATAATGATACATAATGATATCTAAAATGATACATAATGATACATAATGTTATCTAAAATGGTACCCAATGTTATCTAAAATGATACCTAATGATATCTAAAATGATACATAATGATACATAATGATATCTAAAATGATACATAATGATACATAATGATACATAATGATACATAATGATACATAATGATATCTAAAATGATACACAATGATACATAATGATATCTAAAATGATACACAATGATACATAATGATATCTAAAATGATACATAATGATACATAATGATATCTAAAATGATACAAAATGATACAAAAATGATACATAATGATACATAATGATATCTAAAATGATACATAATGATACATAATGATACAAAATGATATCTAAAATGATATCTAAAATGATATCTAAAATGATACATAATGATACATAATGATACATAATGATATCTAAAATGATACATAATGATACATAATGATATCTAAAATGATATCTAAAATGATATCTAAAATGATATCTAAAATGATATCTAAAATGATATCTAAAATGATATCTAAAATGATATCTAAAATGATATCTAAAATGATACATAATGATATCTAAAATGATATAATGATAGCTGAAATGATATAATGATAACTAAAATGATACATATGATATATAATGATACTCTCCGTCTGACTAGTTGATGTAGAATTTGAATTTATTCCCCTTCTCCTGTCTGGTGCGTTCCCCACTGGGAAGTATTCCTACATGTTGCAGCGTCAGCTGTATATTGCTTCATTATATGATTGCAAAAAGTTACATCTAAAAATTGAAATTTCCAAAATTGTGTATAAATACAATAGAATCAGCATCATTTCCACTTTTTGCCCCTAGCATACGCATCAATTTTGCTGCTCTGACACTTTAATTGGAATCATCATGAGCAATTTCTGTGAATTATGCGATAAAACATTTGCTAGTTCACGCAGTCTAGCCAGTCATCGATATAGCTTCCATCGTAAGAATGACATCTATGAGAATAAAAATGTGTCTGATGATGAGACCATTACAACAAACAACTCTGGAAACAAGAATGATCAGAAACACGAGATGAACTCCTTATCGAAGACAGGTAATTTAATTCAATAGATTCGAAGTTTTAAAAACAACATGAAAATCTGAAAATAATGTTACACTGTCAAGCTGTTTAATATTGTTTTTTACACCCTATGCAATCTTGCAATACAAAATTCAGGTGATAGTATGGACGATGAATATCCTACCGACACTGATGATAGCATGGATGAAGATAAAGATGATGATTCTACAAAGGATTACTCAAGTGACAATGAATCAATAAATGAAGACAATGACCTCAATGAAAGTACAGACGATGAAAGTTCCTCATATAGTAGCAATGATCATCCACGTGTGAAGCGCAGACGAAAAATGACAAGACTTAAAGCTGGCTCTAATATGCTAACCAAGACTCTGCGGTCAATTGAGAAACATTTAAAGAACCAAGCCTGCCAAGAGGATGACTGCTTTGATCTTTTTTCAAGTTATGAATTGAAGACTGATTTTTTCGTGATGCTAGATAATTACTTTCAAACACGTGGATTACAAATGGATTCTATATTATCAAACAAAGAACAATTAATTTTCAATCTTGTACTAAAAACTGATAATCTCTTAATCCTTTGTAAACTTATAAATGAGAATATTCCCTTATTGAAATCAGTCGTTAAGAAATGTGACATGATCGTACAAAGTCTTAAGTACTGAAAATTGCTGACGATTGACATTGTATTTTTAAATGTGTATGATTTTTTAAGTTTCAAACGGTTTGTCTTATTTCTCATAAAGTTTATTTATGATATCTAAATAATATAATAATTTCACCGTTACACTGATAAAAATCTCCCCTACGGTAACCCTAAGTCACTGTGTGTAAGCGCTATACTAACAGTAGGGGGGGGGGGGCTAGTCCTACCAGTCACAGAGTGAATATAACCAGCCGAAGCTATACCAAATCATAGCTTGGTAATTGATCGACTGGCTCTCGACCGGATTCGAACCTGGATCTTCTGCTTGGGAGGCAATTGTGTTACCACTACACCACCCGGCCGACAAATTATTATTGATTATGTGACATTACCATATAAGGAAATTGGGTAAATGGTGCCTAACTTTTAGGTGATACAGCGGGGCCATATATTGTATACTACTCTCTGACGACAACTTCCTGTTTTTTTCTTCTATATTAGTTACTCATATCTCTTGTACAGACTGTTTTACAAGGACATTGACAGATGATACTCACATTAGGCATTCATTATTGCATCTAAATTATTTCACTTGCATCAGGTTTAGAAATTTATTCTCTGGTTAACAGATTTAAAATGTTTAATTAATTTGTAGTATGACAGTAAGGTATATAAGAAGTTATTTAATTTTGCTTGGGCTATTATATTGACTATTGAGGTTTAATGATGATATGGAATTTGAATTTTATATAAATTTACACTACAGTATGTGGTTGGGGCATTTTGCATAGTAAATATGGTTACTACTCCTATATATCATATTATTTGATTGGTATTCGATTTCTGATTATTTCCCTAGGAATATGATTATTATATCTCAATTTGGCTTTAGGTAGGGTGCCCCGCTAAAAGAACTGGATTCTTCCAGGAAGCATCCCGTGCACAGAGCTTGGTCTACATATATATTAAATTATTAACCATTCATTCTGTATGTGCACGAAAATTTATTTCAATCAAAAACTTCACTTAGTGTGGTTTAAAATAAAGGATGTTTTAATTTTATCTCGTCTTAATATGTATTCACACATTTATTTACTTATTACACTTTTGCTCATATCACTCAAGCCAGCCGCTCTGACATGTTGAACCATATTTCCTTGTGTTGGTTGGATATAGATACCTTGTTTCATGTTCATTTCTCTAAATGGACACCTTCAACAAGACGTTGTCTCACGTTTTGACTTTTTCTAAATTGATTTTTAGAGTCTTATATAGTCTATTGGCTATGATAGACTCGATTGATTGGTTGCAGAATCTTCATAGCTTTATGACTATGAAATCAAAATCATGCTATCACATAATTTGACAGAGCTAGACCACGTTAAAGTCCAATGATACAAATATCACATTTTCTGAGATGTGATAATGATACAAATGGGTCTGGAGAGACCGAATGTTATCAGTTTTTTATGAAAATTTCGTAACATGATGCCTGTCTCCTAAGGAAGCAGTGTACAAAAGGAAATCGTTATTTAGGCTAATTATGATACAAATATCACACATTTCCGTTTCAAAATTGTCCCTTTTATGATGTGATTATTGAATCCCCTTGACCTCTTTTTTCTGTTTCTTTGAACTCAAACTGTACCAGAGGCAATTCCAAACATAATTAGTGAAAAGTATGATACAAAAATCAACCTCCCGTTAGATGTACTACAATTATCACATTGTATTTTAAAACAACGAAATATAGCTATTTTTCGGGTCCAGTTCTCTGGGTGGCTGTTTGAAGGGTACATAATTCATTAATAAAGATGAAACTTCATTCACACCTACAAAAATGGTAACTCAGTATGGATACAAGGATGAAAAATTGTTCCAACCACTTGAAGGATACAAATATCACATTTTTTGTGAACCAAATTTTACAAGTGTAACATTCGTGATAAATGTATCAATATGGGTCTATAGAACGAGATTCTTTTTGATGCATGTACAATAAACATTATTACTCCCTGAACATCTTACACAGCACATCTAGAAACCAAAATAGGATACGAATATCACAATTTCATTTCAAATAATTTTTTATTTTTTTAATTTTTTTAATTTTTTTTTAATCAAGTGATATTTGTATCTGAAAAGTGCTTATTTAATGAAATGCCTATTACTTATTGACTATGTTTAATAATATTGGATGAATTGATCTTCAAAAACAACATTCACACATTATTGACATTGATTCGTGAAAAATATTGAATTTAATGTGATATTTGTATCATTTACAGGTCATTTATTGAATGTCAATCATTACAACATTATTTTACAGCCTAAAGCACCTTGAATAGCATTCAAAACATCAAAATACTCCTCACTGGTTGTCATTATAGCCTACCCTAAGTGATATGTGATAATCGTACCATATTTCATATATTTAACCATTAATCGCGGTACATATAACACCCACATGCTTCAGAAAGGTTTGATGGTCACATCTATCACGATAACTCACTCAAATCATGTAAATTCGATTTTACACAGCCATAAACAAGTTTCCCTGTGATATTCTTATCATAAAGTGTACAGATAATAAATTTAGCTGTTTCATGTTGATGAATGAGTGATTATTGTATCCTTGTTGACCAAACTACAAATTTGTGTGGTAATTGGTTTAAAATTGGCCGAGTAATAACTATCACATGGTTTGGCAGTCAAAATTCGAGCATGTGGCAGTCAAAACGTGAGACAACGTCTTGTTGAAGATGTCCAAATAGCAAGGTTCACCTGATAGTTTTTAAAGTTTTACCTGATAGTATAGCAAGTTGCATTGTCTGCAGGTAGCCGATGAGATTAGCGGGATCTTTTTCTGTGTCTTTGTCAATATTGGCTTTGTACTCTTCCAATACAGGTGACAACTCTTCAGGTATTCCATCTGGATAGAAAAACTGCACATCCTCTTCAAATTCTAAACAATAATGGGAATTTGTATCACTTGAATATGGTTAGTAAGCATGCTAGTGTCTCATTGGTTGATCTTAATATATAATATGGCATGTGTCTTGTGTAATGAATGATACCTTACAAGACATATTTATGGCGGCCTAATTTGCGACGACCAAAATTTTGGCGGTCCGAAAATATGGCGAAATTGATCAAAAACCGTCAAATTTTGGACGTCACAGAAAATAAGGGTATTTTTCATCATTTTTTGTGACAGTAAGCAGTAAGGAAATTTCTGAAATTCGGTAAAATCTTGTAGGTTTACAACCTACCAGGACGAGTTGGACTCGTCGACGGTCCAATATATGGAACAGATATTTTACGAGTATCACCCGTTAAGTAAAATCATGTTCAAACTTAGTCTGTATTAAGACTGTAAGACTTTCATGTTAGCACATACATGTATTTTAATGCAAATTTAAACTGTATTGCTTGACATTCAATTCGTCATTGGTGTGGTGATAATTTGTCCCAAGATGCCAGAATTTGTTTATTTATTTTACTTGATATTACTTTTTAGAAACAAAATAAAGCAGTGAAGGCACAGTCATTGAAATAAGCTAAAAGATAATGCGACGGATTCTATAACGACGGCCGAAATTTTGGCGGTCCGAAAATATGGCGAAATTTTCGGAAAACCGCCACATTTCGTACGTTATAAATATGTCTTGTAAGGTATGTAAAATTGTTATAAGATATTACTGTTCGACTCATTTTAGAATTTACTGATCCACATACCTACCAGGTGCTCTGAACAGATTGGGAAAATAAAGGGATTTCAGAGAATCACTGTCATAATGTAAGTCTTCAAGTTTATCTTCGATCATAAGGAAGACATGATAAAACCGATAAACTGCCATTCTGTACACTGCCCGGTCTGAAAGAGTCAAATTTTCACAATACTTATCATGTGGGTATAATTGAATAAATTTCGATACATTCATACAAAGAACGAGGAACATTATATTAATTATTACCAAATTAATGTTCTATTAAAATTACCTGCAAGAGCAATTGCTAGGGCAGAGTTGAACAATTTGTCTGACACATTGTGAACATCTTGAGATTTGACTTTCAATTCTTCCGTAAACTCCATCGTACCATTACCAATCACTAATAATATGTATATTATTTTAATTTGGTATGTATGATAATCTCATAACATTGAAAGGCAATTCGGTAACCAATAACACAAATTAAATGTGATATGAGTTTAATAGTGATATAGTGATATCTAGTGATCATAGATATTGGAGTGAACTTTTAAATTCTATACTTGAGTACAAGTCAATTTGAGTTTTCGGACATTATTATAATCTTACAAAGGATCACGTTTCGGTTCTAAATTATTTTAGGATTGTTGACATTTGAAAGATTGAAATAATTATGAGTAATGAGTTTAATAGTAATCAAACAAACGAGTTTGACGAGTGAGTTTGATTACCGTCCTAATTGGCAATTGCACTACAGGGGAGTGAGAGTCTTACATCTGCAGAAAGTCAGACAAGAAACCGAACAGAGTGACAAGAGAATATATGATATAATAACAGCACACCAACTAATACAACTGCAGTTGTATACATATTAATTACCTTACAAGACATATTTATAACGTACGAAATGTGGCGGTTTTCCGAAAATTTCGCCATATTTTCGGACCGCCAAAATTTCGGTCGTCGTAATAGAATCCGTCGCATTATCTTTTAGCTTATTTCAATGACTGTGCCTTCACTGCTTTATTTTGTTTCTAAAAAGTAATATCAAGTAAAATAAATAAATAAATTCTGGCATCTTGGGACAAATTATCACCACACCAATGACGAATTGAATGTCAAGCAATACAGTTTAAATTTGCATTAAAATACATGTATGTGCTAACATGAAAGTCTTACAGTCTTAATACAGACTAAGTTTGAACATGATTTTACCGAATTTCAGAAATTTCCTTACTGCTTACTGTCACAAAAAATGATGAAAAATACCCTTATTTTCTGTGACGTCCGAAATGTGACGGTTTTTGTTCAATTTCGCCATATTTTCGGACCGCCAAAATTTCGGTCGTCGCAAATTGGTCCGCCACAAAAATGTCTTGTAAGGTAATCGACCATTTTAAAACTATCCGCCTTCTATTTTCAAGCAAAATTATTTTAAAACTTAAACATCACCCATAGCTGTGACAGCTACCGACCCGAATAGCCTACTACATATCTTGATTCTGTCGGTCAGATCTTATGATATTTACTCTATGGCCTATTCACTAACTAGAATCAAGACTATCCAGAAGTATTTTCTCCCGGAGCGAGTACTATTCCATATTGGAAAAAACACATTACGGGCGTCAAGAACTCTGTGACAGTTTCAGGCTTTAAAATTAACATGGAATGATTTAAGAAAGACTTGTATCACGCCGTGACTTGTATCACGTGGTGACCCCCACTGTCGCTTCACCCTGTAGATAAGAGCTAGAGTTTCTACGATACAGGGGGCGGGTCATTCAACGTATGACAAAGAAAGACATGGTTACTAAAAGTATTACAAATAATTGCTTTTTTTTAATGTTTCAAATGAAGTTTAAATATAAAGAATTGAGGGAGCCAGTTATGTCAATAATTAAGAAATACATACTTGATAATAAGTATCTCTGGTTTCATCCTTATATGATTGATGATGCGCGGCGCGGCCCGGTGGTGCATTACGATTTGTGATTGAAATAAGTCGCCATGCATAAGATCAAGAACATTGACTTAATTACTTTTACATTTTATCTTTTTGGCCGGCGGCTCTCAGCTTACATGGGGACCCCAGGCTATTATATTTATGTTCATAATAATCCGCCGAATAAAAATTTGGCGGAATGACCGGCTGAGTGCCACCCAGTAACAATCAATCTGCCAATGCATTCCGCCGCAGCAATTCAATTAATTATGAACATTATTATATCACAATGCTGGCAAGCATAACCGTTGCCCTTATATTCACAACACTATGTACCCCCTATACTATTATATCCCCTTTATTGTTTTCCAGGCATTAAGACTCATCGAAAGTAGTTCAGCAGGTATATTTAAGTTCAAAACATTCTAATTCAATGTTAAAGATGACAGGAATAAGAAATGGTTTAAATGTGGAGGTTTTTAAGAAATTTGCGCAAAATACGCGCCAGCATGTTATACGAAATTAAGTAAAAAACCCAAAATCGCCATATTCAGGTGCCTTAAAAACCATGTTAAAATTGAGTTAGAGATCTGAAACTTTGCAGAGCGTCTAGACCTTGTCCAAATCGACTGTAAAAAAATTTCATGTTGCAGGAGTATCGGGAAGTGGGTTTTCTTGAACCCCTGTTTTACAACAGATTGTCGTGAAGCTATATATATATATGGACACGTTCATTGAAGTTTGAGGATATTGGTAAATTTCTAAAATAGCGTTTTCGACGATAGTGGCTTAATTTTAGCATCTATTAATCTAGCGTGTTCATAAGTTCTGAACATTAGCCTCGTAACCCATACTCCCATATGCACTGCTCAGAAATAAAATGTATTGCTTTTAGGCACTATAATGTAAAAAATGTCACATTTTTGTGACATTGTTTACCATAGCTGCCCAATTATCATTCCTTGGTCTGAAATATAGTAGATTAGGTCAATCTAACAATTATGATACAACATTGGTTAAAGGGCACGGATCGAACGGCTTTAAGGCAATATTACGTAAACTTTGTCACACTCAGAATACAAGACCTCTTTTCTACTGTGAGGTGTCCTCAAAACCCTTTCAACTCATTATTTGATGGTTCTTCTGCCAATCATAGCCCTAAAATATGTTGTTTTGAAAAGTTAGCTAATACATGCACTTGGTTATTGGGAAATGATGTAAATTCTGTCACATTATATGGAATTCGAAATTCTGGGTGAATTTCCGAAATCATTTATATCTGATTTTGGTTTGGAAGGCGGAAAAACTCTATATAAGGACGATACACGGATACAGTTGATTCAAGTATAGGGCAGTTGATGTAAACATCGTCACAAAATGATACGACATCGTAAATAAGTTAAATTTTGCGGGAAAACTCTATATAAGGACGATACACGGATACAGTTGATTCAAGTATAGGGCAGTTGATGTAAACATCGTCACAAAATGATAAGACATCATAAATAGGTTAAATTTGGAAACAATGATTATAGAATGAAATAGTCTGTGATTAACATATTACATACATTATAAAATGGGCAGGGGTTTTTATATTTCCTGTATCTCTGTATTAATCATTTCGGACTGTAATTAGAACTGTTCACGTGAAAGAAATTGTATCTAAATTTTACAATGACGTACTCGTATGTGACGAAATTTACATTTCTTGACCCTATTTTGAAGAACCATACCTCGGTTAGAATTCAATGTTCTCAGGAATTATTGGTTGGTTATTGTTTAGCAAAATAGAACTCAAGTTTAACAATGCTGAGTTTAATTTTACTAAGTTACTGAAATGTGACGAAATTTACTTTTCCTGCCCCAACAGTATAATTTCAATGTGATGAAAAATTGGCATTAGAATTAGAATTAGAATCAAATTTACACAGCAATACAATAAGAATAAAAAATAATTTAAGAAGCTTCAATCTGCTGTGCAGGACATTCAAGTCAGTCGAAAACTGTTAGCAGAACACCCTTCTAGGGACATAAGGATATATTATGTAAAACATAATGAGTAATAAATTAATGAGTGATAAAATAAGATATGATTTAACAGTGAACTGTGGGCATGAAGGTAACAATTAAGATTACATAGATGCCCACTTTGGGATTACGTTAGTAATGTTATTTACAGTTATATACAGAGAAGTATAGAACAATAATAGATTGGCAATGATAACAAATGGGAACGAGTAAAGGAGATGTTTAAAGTTCTATACTTCTGGAAATAGGTCATATATAACGCAGGGGGCCTTTCCACCCGACGAAAACTCCAGCACCATTAAATTTGTTTCAGTTGTCACATAGCTAGAGTGTAGAAATAGTCGAAACTATTGTTTATTTCATAGGATGAGACTCCTTGAATTACATCTGACATAAATTTAGATTTCATACATTGTGAGAATTTTACACTACATTCTATAGTCCTTATGTTCTCTGGAATTGTATTCCAACATTTTGCACCTAAATATGTAAAGGTTTTGTGTGTTCTGGATTTGTGAATATAAAGGTTGCACCTCTCAGCATCACGTGATCCTCCGGATACATAAGAAAATTTATCTGTGAATGATGATGGTGCAGCCTCATTAAGAATTTTATACATATACGTTGATAGATGGAGTTGTCTTCTTAAGTGTAAGGGTAACCACTTCATATTTCGATATACATTTACTGATGGTTCCTGCCAATGAACATCCAGAGCAATTTTTGCTACTTTCTTGTATAATATATCAAGAGAATTAAGTTTGGTTTTGGCAGCCCTACACCATATTATATCCAGGTAGTCAAATTGGGGGAGCATAAGAGCATTTACAAACATTTTTCTATATTTCAGTGGAAGAAGATTTTTCGACCTGTATAATGCCCCTATTCTTTTAGCAATTTTTGATTTCACATAATCAATATGGTCCTGAAAGTTCAATAAATTGTCTATCATGAGACCTAAATATTTTTGAGATTTAGTTTCTTCTATAAATAGGCATTCTTTTTCCAAATCCAGAGGGATTGACAACGTGTCCAGATTAGGTGATCTATCAAATACAATGAATGAAGATTTTGCAGCATTTAGCCTCAGCTTGTTGATTCTAAGCCATTCATACACAATTTTCATATCCTTAATTACATTCTCATATATGCCTCGGGAAATGTTATCAAAATACAGTGCACTGTTTCTATATTTCCTGTATAAATCCATTCTAACTATAATAAGGACTATTGATATGAAAGAAAATCTATCTAAATTTTAAAATTACGTATGTGACGAAATTTACATTTCTTGCCCCTATTTTAAAGAACCATACCTCATATCAGTTAAAATTCAATTTTCTTCCAGGAATTATTGGTTGGTTATTTTTCAGCAAATCAGAACCCAAGTTTAACAATGCTGAGTTTGATATCACTAATTAGCTAATTTACCGAAATGTGACGAAATTTACTTTTCCTGCCCCAACAGTATAATTTCAATGTGATGAAAAATGGGCATGGGTTTCTATATTTCCTGTATAAATCCATTCTAGCTATAATAAGGGCAGTTGATATGAAAGAAAATCTATCTAACTAATGCTATGGCTCACAGATATATTATGTTTGATATAACATCCGGCCCCAAAAAAGAACCACGTCAAATACGACTAGTCAAGCACACTGACTGGGCGAAATTTGACGAGATTCTACAGAACAACAACGACCTCCACAGTAACGGCATTATCACACCCCAAGAAATCGACCTAAAGGTCAACACCTTAAACTCTGCTCTCAGGACAGCCTTCGAGGAGGCATGTCCTATTACTTACATCTCGAGTGCGGTCCGCAAACCTCCCTGGCTAACTCGAGAAGTCGAGGAAGCTCAGAGGGGAATAAGACGCAAACTCATTACAGCCCGCAGAAAGAAAACTGACGCTTCGTGGCTTGCTCTCCGAGAAAGCAACAAGCAATACAACAAGATCCTGTCAAACTCCCAGCGCAATGCGTGGCGGAACTTTTCCAGAGACACAGAATCGGTCAAAGAATCTGGAAGGATGAGCAAGATTCTGAAAACCTGTACTGACACCAACAACAAACTAGAAGCCATTTATAAACCCAACGGAGAACTCACCAAAAACGCAGAGGAGACACTGGAGGTCATGACTCAAACCCACTTCAGGGAGAGTGTTACTGATCCGCCAGTCCCGCCCCTCGGCCCAATACCCATCTCCTCAGACTTACTAGACAAAATCTACAGCCCTGAAAGAATCGAGAAGGCCCTCATGTCTTTCGATCCTTTAAAGGCTGCAGGACCGGACACCCTGAAACCGATCATCTTCCAGAAAGCCTGGAACCATATCAAAGATATAACACAAAACATCATGACAAATAATCACAAAACACAACACATCCCTACTTTGTGGAGGGATTCCATCGGAATCTTCCTCCCCAAACCCGGCAAAACCGACTACAACAAGGCTAAGTCTTTTCGCACAATCACTCTCTCACCTGTGATGCTAAAATTACAGGAGAAAGTGATTCTTTGGCACATGCAACACGACCTCAACATAGCAAATGACATAAACAAACGTCAATTCGGCTTTAGGAAGGGCTGCTCAACAGAAGCGGCTCTTCATAAAGTTACCCACACCATTGAGCGCAGAATAGCTAAGAAGGGATATGTCCTAGGAGTTTTTCTTGACATAGAGGGCGCCTTCGACAACGTCTCGTTCAAAGCTATTTCTGATGCAGTCAGGGCCACGAAAGTGGACCTAGCTACAGCGCAATGGATCATCAACATGGTCACTAATTGCTTTATCAATCTAAGTCATAAGGATAAGTCGAGAAGGGTACAGATCAGGAGAGGCTGCCCCCAGGGAGGCATCCTCTCTCCTTTTCTATGGAACCTGGTAGTCGATGATCTCCTCTCCTTTACTGCGAAGGACATACCGGGTTACCTGCAAGCCTTCGCAGATGACCTGGCTTCACTAGCAGAAGGAAATGACCTGGACATCATCTGGAACCGCACATGCAAAACCATCAATACGATAGAAAAATGGTGCCAAACCAAGGATCTATCTATCAGCGCACTCAAGACTCAGATAGTCATGTTTACCTGGAATACTAAGTGGACTTTGAGACCAATAAAAGTTGGCAACAACATTATAGGTCTCTCGAAGTCGGCTAAATTCCTAGGAGTGACATTAGATAGCAAACTCAATTACAACGAACATATCATCAACATCACCAAAAAAGCCACGGCATCCCTCATGTAATGTCGAAGAGCTGTCGGCCCCACATGGGGTATGAGCCCTAAAACTTGTAAATGGATGTTCACAGCGGTCATTCGACCCATTCTGTCCTACTGTTGTAGTATATGGATCAGGGCAATTGACACGGACTACAATGCGAGGAAGCTCAAACGTGTGCAGGCATTGGCACTGAGAATGATGTCTGGTGCCATGCCAAGTACACCCTTCCTCGCATTGAATCACCTTACTGACACTCCAGACACCATACTATTCCTGAGGGGCGAAGCAGCGAAGGGGGCAGCAAGGCTTCAAGCCTACGGCAGCCTCACTCTTGAAACTATCGCCCACAGGAAGGGAACTATCAAAAACCACACCACAATCAACAAACAATTCATGGAGGATCTCAACATACCACCTAGAGCCACAAGAGACCTCACAGCACCAACCATGATGCTGGGACGGCACTTCACCGTCACCACTCCTGGAACTAACAACACTGAATACAGAACCGCACTCCAACACACCATCGACAACATTACCAGTGAAACGATCACCTGCTACACAGACGGGTCTCTATCAGACTCCGGAAGTGGGGCTGGGTACATCATCACGACTGACAACAACAACACCACCCTGGAAGAGAGATCATTCAAGCTCCCTGATTATTGTACTGTCTACCAGACAGAGCTCACTGCAATCATTGAAGCCTGCAAGTATCTCTCATCCTACACCAATTCACACATCATTATATGGTCTGATAGTCTCTCCTCCATACAAGCTATTTCCTCGCTTTCAACGAGGAGCAGAACTACTAGAGACTGTTATGACACCCTTAACGCACTCGGATCGAACAACACTCTAGAGATCCGATGGATCGCAGCCCATATTGGGTTGTGGGGAAATGAAAAAGCGGATGAGCTGGCCAAGCTTGGCACGACCAGCGAACACGTTTTGAAATGCCCAATCCCTCAATCTTACATCAAACGACAAATCAACAACAAAGTCCACAGACTGAATCAGGATATCTGGTTAACGGATGGTCCTAGACACACCAAACTAACACTTGGCCAAAAGCACACCAAAATAATCAATAATATAAACACGTCACTCATCAACAATAGACAAGACTATAGAACCGCAGTCCACCTAATCACGGGCCACTGTGGCTTAAACAAACACCTCCACACCATCCGCAAATCAAGCACCAGTGCTTGTCCTATGTGCGGTGACGGAGAGGAAACTGTCTCACACTTTCTTGGACAGTGCCCAGCTATTGCCCAAATAAGAGGTCAATACTTTCGGGACTACTACCTCTCGGTCAACGACATATTCGACAACCACCACATTACCACAATCGTCAACTTCACAAACCGCACCAAACGCTTAATAGTACCAGAAGAACTGGATCAGACTGGCGTAACTTAGCGCATTAACACATTACATATGCAGCCTTGCCTAACTGATTTACAAACTCATCTGGTACCAAAGCGCGGTATTCCCATTCAGATCATTACCACCACCGTCCTCCACAATTCACACTGTTGTCTCCGATAAACCCCCCCTCATCCCAGAGGTAGGCAAAGCATCTTAATGCTATCCTCTAGTGGGCTTTCTATGCCCAGCCTCTCTTAAAAAAAAAAAAAAAAAAAAAAAAAAAAAAAAAAAATGCTATGGCTGATGTGACGAAATTTACATTTCTTGCCCCTATTTTGAAGAATCATACCTCAATTAGTATATAATGTTACTTTATCACCATCACTATGTCGATAAATTAGTTATTTTGCCAACACGGAGCAAATAAAGTTATAATATTTTTTTTGTGACGAAATTTACAAATTTTTGCCAACGTTAACATATCACTGCCATATAATAATTTATATGACCGGCATATGGTTGAAATATTGTTAATTGATCCATAGTACGTAATATATAATAGGGTGTTTAAGTTGGTATACTAATATTTATTCAATTTCACACATGTTGAGATATCATACAAATTTATGTGACTAAATTTACCTATTTCTGCCTTCTGTATTTGTATTTGCCTATAACAATGAAATATGTGAACAATTCCAAACACATTCAGCTCACAAAATAATGCTAGACTATTCGGCATTTCTTGTCAGGATGTCATAAACATCCCTCATATAAATTTCTTAAATGTGTGACGGAGTTTACATGGTGCTACCATTTAACGAAAAAAGTCGCTAAATATGTAGATAATAGTCAATATGCAATAGTCATATGCAACTATCCTATAAATTTGAAATTCGAAAATTTGGTCAAACACGGCAACAAGGGGTCCATATAAACTCTGTCACGTTTTTATAGTGTGACAAAGTTTACAACTCACTGCCGGCCGCATTTAAACGATATCTTATTGTCTGATAAAGATATCGTTATGCGACAAAGTTTATCTAGAGGATGAAACGATTATCCTAACCATTGAGGGTTTATATAGTTTTATAGTGTGACACATTTTACATCATCGTGCCATTTAGTAGGGTCACTAATATTTACCAATATCCTCAAACTTCAATGAACGTGTCCATATATGTATAGACGCTTTTGCAGTAAATTGTAGCCTACATTTAAGTGTCCGTAGATTCAAAAGTATAAAAGATACAGTCATTTTGAACCACATGTTTTAAAGATAATTGTTTATATTTTAGTTTACATTATATCGAAAAATGATTTATCGTCATCATCATCACTTGATGACGTCATCAATTTAAGTGTTTTTAAAACTTGATTTTTGACAAAATAACAACTTTTCAAATCGATTTTAAAGCATTAAGGAGTAATTTTATTCAAAATCTGAGGACATTTTCACCTTAGATAATTGTTCAAGCATTCTGAAAATCTACCGGAAAGTTTTCCTACCTTGCTCCTTCATAAAGATATTCGCTATTGAAGTTTGTGCTTTTTTGAAGAATAATTTTATAAAAACACAAAAGTTGTGAATTAGTATTCTCTGGTGTTGGGCCATCCCTTGGGTTGTGGAGCTCAATTTTGCTTCCTAAAGGTCTAAATTGTGTTATAGGCTAGTTTTAAAGTTGAAAATCGAAAAGTTGCACACGTGGGGACACGCCCAAATTCATTTAAAATAGCTAAAATCACTAAAAATTGTTATTTTCACGATTTTTACCAACTTTGGAGTCCCGTTGTGATCCAAGTTCTTTTTGAAATCTTCTGAAACTTTTCATGCTTATCAAACTATATATTAAATAACACTATGTAAAAATTTATGGTGATTCAATATTTTATGCGCACGCAACGTCCGCTCAAAGTTTGCACGTGCGAAAGGTGAGAATTTTGCTCATTCGTGATTTCGAATATATTCTGCTTTCCCACGATATTAAAATGGCATTATATAATATGAATTTAATGCCAACTTGAATGAGTAAAAAGTGCTATATTCAGTCTGTTATTGACAGATATGCCTACCTAAACACAAGGAAACGTTTTCAAAGGTAAAATTTCGAAATCGTTGAAATTACCTCCTTATTAAGTTTCGACTGTGTAAATTATCCTGACATTATAATCAAAAAGAGATGATATTTGACCAAAACCCATAATCATGGGTAGAGTGAACCGCTGCCAGTGTCTCTCTTTTCCAAACAAAAGAAAATGATATTAATTTGAGGAACCGTCCGCAAATGCAAATTGATACCGAGAATGAAATCGGTCGCTCGCTTTTCCCATTCATTCACGGCTTACGTATTGTAATAAAGCTTATTGAATGGGAAAAGCGAGCGACCGATTTCATTCTCGGTATCAATCTGCATTTGCGGACGGTTCCTCAAATTAATATCATTTTCTTTTGTTTGGAAAAGAGAGACACTGGCAGCGGCTCACTCTACCCATGATTATGGGTTTTGGTCAAATATATTATATATATATATATATATTTTGTAGCTGTACTCCTACACATTAAAAGTCGGTGTTGATTAGATCTTCGAAATAAGTCTTTGCATCATTTTATTAAAAATCGTTATCTGAGATAAAATTGTTCTAAAAGCAACTGGAATATTCACAAATCTTTAAAATAACTTACAAACTAGGAAAGGAAAACAAGTCTTAGGAAGACGTACAAAACTATGTGACTTAAAACGGTACAAAACTAAAATATACTGAGTAATAATCAAACGAAAGAATGGCTGCGTACATTTTATCTAATCTATTAAAGATTAGTTTCTCGGAAAAAGCTAGATTTCTCTGAATCAAGCAGTAAAAATATATAAATAGTAATGAATATAACACGTCTCTGATAGCAATATTGTAAACTAAACACAGGTTAATAGGCTGAGACCATGTCAAATAAAATAAATAAACTAAACACTAAGCTCCAGCGGATTTAAAAAGGATGTGGTTACTATCGAGGGTGTTCATACCCCCATAACGCTCAAGGGTTTTCAATTGGGTCTGGTAGAACCCCTCTCTAGCTTCCATGGCCTTTTCCCTATCTGCTTGACTTATTTCAGGTTTAAATTCAAGAGCGTCCACTATAATAACAGAAAGGTGCGTACTAAGTGAAGAGTTATATAAGGCTACTGAACTAAAATCTAAATCATGATCAATATCTAAAAAGTGATTTACTAACTTACAACTTCTGATACCTTTCTTAATGTGGCTCTTATGATTAGAAAATCTCTTAGGGAGATTAGAAGTAGTATATCCTACATACGACTGTTTACAAGTTCTACACTCCATTAAATAAATAAGGTTATTACTCTGACAATATATATATATTATATTATTGATTGTAGCCTCATATTAGTTGTAGGTTTATAACTTTTGTCATACGTTGTATGACCCGCCGCTCACTCGTGCGCGGCTCCCCCTGTTACCTGAGGACCCCAGGCTATTATGTTCATTAACATAACCGAATAAAGATTTGGCGGAATGACAGGCTGAGCGCGGCTCAGTAACTCCCCCTGTATCGTAGTGAAACGACCGTGGGGGTCACGGCGTGATACAAAGAAATAATACATTTGAATTTCATAACTATGCTATCGCATCGTCAATAGGGTGGATGGTTTTTTAATCGTATTTATGGAATTGGTACCGTTGTAAAACTTACATTATGACAGTTCAGATGGCGAAAGTTTTATCGAAAATGGACCTGTCATTGTTCTGGAAATAACAATAATAAACAATAATATCTATGACCAATTTAACCATATTAAGAAATGTGGTCGGTGATCCAGTATTGAGCATATGTGCAACTGTGTGAGTTCAGTATTCTAATTGCCCCCTTCAAGCAGCTAAGGTGCGTCTTACTAGCAGTCATGTGACCGAGATCACGTGATAACACCTTTAACTAACTTATTGCCCTGAGGATCAATTGGTACAATGTGTATTGAGGTAAATTGGTCGGGGTATGTTTTATTATATAATATCAGTATTTACACTGAAACATTCAATAGCTTTCCTTAGCTGTTGGAACAGTGAAAGACCAAAATATTAGATGTTAACCCTGAGCAAATTGTAGCTTGTAGTTGTACATTTAATATAATCAATAATACTACATACTACCTTGTCGGACTTTATTTAAACGGACTTTAGTTCATAGTTGGATGCTAGAAGCCCAAGTTTACAATTTACCGCAGAAATTTATCTCGTACCGTTTTAAAACCAGATCTCGGAGAAAGGTTCACCTTAGAGTATTTTAAACCTAATTCTCGGGCAGACGTTTTACAATCTCCGAACAGTGTGACTATATTAGGTACAATCTCCGTACAGTTTGACTATATTGTGTACAATATCCGAACAGTGTTCTGTGCAGTGTACCGTGTTATTGTAGAGTATTCTGTGCAGTGTACCGTGTTACTATAGAGTATTCTGTGCAGTGTACCGTGTTACTATAGAGTATTCTGTGCAGTGTACCGTGTTACTATAGAGTATTCTGTGCAGTGTACCGTGTTACTATAGAGTATTCTGTACAGTGTACCGTGTTACTATAGAGTATTCTGTGCAGTGTACCGTGTTACTGTAGAGTATTCTGTGCAGTGTACCGTGTTACTATAGAGTATTCTGTGCAGTGTACTGTGTTATCATAGAGTATTCTGTGCAGTGTACCGTGTTACTATAGAGTATTCTGTGCAGTGTACCGTGTTATTGTAGAGTATTCTGTGCAGTGTACCGTGTTACTATAGAGTATTCTGTGCAGTGTACCGTGTTGCTGTAGAGTATTCTGTGCAATGTACCGTGTTACTATAGAGTATTCTGTGCAATGTACCGTGTTACTATAGAGTATTCTGTGCAGTGTACCGTGTTACTATAGAGTATTCTGTGCAGTGTACCGTGTTACTATAGAGTATTCTGTGCAGTGTACCGTGTTACTGTAGAGTATTCTGTGCAGTGTACCGTGTTACTATACAATATTCTGTGCAGTGTACCGTGTTACTATAGAGTATTCTGTGCAGTGTACCGTGTTACTATAGAGTATTCTGTGCAGTGTACCGTGTTATCATAGAATATTCTGTGCAGTGTACCGTGTTACTATAGAGTATTCTGTGCAGTGTACCGTGTTACTATAGAGTATTCTGTGCAGTGTACCGTGTTACTATAGAGTATTCTGTGCAGTGTACCGTGTTACTATAGAGTATTCTGTGCAGTGTACCGTGTTACTATAGAGTATTCTGTGCAGTGTACCGTGTTACTATAGAGTATTCTGTGCAGTGTACCGTGTTACTATAGAGTATTCTGTGCAGTGTACCGTGTTACTATAGAGTATTCTGTGCAGTGTACCGTGTTATTGTAGAGTATTCTGTACAGTGTACCGTGTTACTATACAATATTCTGTGCAGTGTACCGTGTTACTATAGAGTATTCTGTGCAGTGTACCGTGTTACTATAGAGTATTCTGTGCAGTGTACCGTGTTACTATAGAGTATTCTGTGCAGTGTACCGTGTTGCTGTAGAGTATTCTGTGCAGTGTACCGTGTTACTATAGAGTATTCTGTGCAGTGTACCGTGTTTCTATAGAGTATTCTGTGCAGTGTACCGTGTTACTATAGAGTATTCTGTGCAGTGTACCGTGTTACTATAGAGTATTCTGTGCAGTGTACCGTGTTATTGTAGAGTATTCTGTACAGTGTACCGTGTTACTATACAATATTCTGTGCAGTGTACCGTGTTACTATAGAGTATTCTGTGCAGTGTACCGTGTTACTATAGAGTATTCTGTGCAGTGTACCGTGTTACTATAGAGTATTCTGTGCAGTGTACCGTGTTGCTGTAGAGTATTCTGTGCAGTGTACCGTGTTACTATAGAGTATTCTGTGCAGTGTACCGTGTTTCTATAGAGTATTCTGTGCAGTGTACCGTGTTACTATAGAGTATTCTGTGCAGTGTACCGTGTTACTATAGAGTATTCTGTGCAGTGTACCGTGTTACTATAGAGTATTCTGTGCAGTGTACCGTGTTACTATAGAGTATTCTGTGCAGTGTACCGTGTTACTATAGAGTATTCTGTGCAGTGTACCGTGTTACTATAGAGTATTCTGTGCAGTGTACCGTGTTACTATAGAGTATAGAGTATTCTGTGCAGTGTACCGTGTTACTATAGAGTATTCTGTGCAGTGTACCGTGTTACTATAGAGTATTCTGTGCAGTGTACCGTGTTACTATAGAGTATTCTGTGCAGTGTACCGTGTTACTATAGAGTATTCTGTGCAGTGTACCGTGTTACTATAGAGTATTCTGTGCAGTGTACCGTGTTACTATAGAGTATTCTGTGCAGTGTACCGTGTTTCTATAGAGTATTCTGTGCAGTGTACCGTGTTACTATAGAGTATTCTGTGCAGTGTACCGTGTTTCTATAGAGTATTCTGTGCAGTGTACCGTGTTACTGTAGAGTATTCTGTGCAGTGTACCGTGTTACTATAGAGTATTCTGTGCAGTGTACCGTGTTACTATAGAGTATTCTGTGCAGTGTACCGTGTTACTATAGAGTATTCTGTGCAGTGTACCGTGTTACTATAGAGTATTCTGTGCAGTGTACCGTGTTACTATAGAGTATTCTGTGCAGTGTACCGTGTTACTGTAGAGTATTCTGTGCAGTGTACCGTGTTACTGTAGAGTATTCTGTGCAGTGTACCGTGTTACTATAGAGTATTCTGTGCAGTGTACCGTGTTACTATAGAGTATTCTGTGCAATGTACCGTGTTACTATAGAGTATTCTGTGCAGTGTACCGTGTTACTATAGAGTATTCTGTGCAGTGTACCGTGTTACTATAGAGTATTCTGTGCAGTGTACCGTGTTACTATAGAGTATTCTGTGCAGTGTACCGTGTTACTATAGAGTATTCTGTGCAGTGTACCGTGTTACTGTAGAGTATTCTGTGCAGTGTACCGTGTTACTGTAGAGTATTCTGTGCAGTGTACCGTGTTACTATAGAGTATTCTGTGCAGTGTACCGTGTTACTATAGAGTATTCTGTGCAATGTACCGTGTTACTATAGAGTATTCTGTGCAGTGTACCGTGTTACTATAGAGTATTCTGTGCAGTGTACCGTGTTACTATAGAGTATTCTGTGCAGTGTAAACTGTAAACTTGGGCTTCTAGCATCCAACTATGAACTAAAGTCCGTTTAAATAAAGTCCGACAAGGTAGTATGTAGTATTATTGATTATATTAAATGTACAACTACAAGCTACAATTTGCTCAGGGTTAACATCTAATATTTTGGTCTTTCACTGTTCCAACAGTGTAAATACTGATATTATATAATAAAACATACCCCGACCAATTTACCTCAATACACATTGTACCAATTGATCCTCAGGGCAATAAGTTAGTTAAAGGTGTTATCACGTGATCTCGGTCACATGACTGCTAGTAAGACGCACCTTAGCTGCTTGAAGGGGGCAATTAGAATACTGAACTCACACAGTTGCACATATGCTCAATACTGGATCACCGACCACATTTCTTAATATGGTTAAATTGGTCATAGATATTATTGTTTATTATTGTTATTTCCAGAACAATGACAGGTCCATTTTCGATAAAACTTTCGCCATCTGAACTGTCATAATGTAAGTTTTACAACGGTAACAATTCCATAAATACGATTAAAAAACCATCCACCCTAATCGTCAATTAAAACTTTTTCAGTGATATTATGTTATTTTTTATATGTATTCATCAAATATTTCGTACATGCTCAAAAGTTGATTCACGATGTCAATCCTTCGCATTTCGCCCATTTGCATACGTGTGGTTGCGAGAAGCATTATTTGATGCGCGCGCGATTCAGTAGTGCATCGCGCTACAACGCGATGCATTGTAGCGCGATGCACTACTGGGTCGCGCGCGCATCGGTAGATCGGCGAGATCGGCGAGATGCACCACTGTGCCTCACCGAGCTGCGAAGGATTGACATCGTGAATCAACGCGATGCACTACTGGGTCGCGCCGCGCATCAAATAATTCTTCTCGCAACCACTTATGCAGATCGGCGAGATGCGAAGGATTGACATCGTCAATCAACCGCTCGCCGAGCTACAAAGAATTAAAATCGTCAATTAATCACTTTCCATAGATCACTTTCGGTAGATCGGCAAAATGCACCACTGTGCCTCACCGAGCTGCGAAGGATTGACATCGTGAATCAAGTCGGGACCCCCACTGTTGTTTTACTATAGTTTTTACGGGTGATACTCTTACCTGGGGACCTCAGGCTATTATAATGTTCATAAACAATAGAGATTCGGCGGAATGACAGGCTGAGCGCGGCCCAGTAAGTGATACTCGTAAAATATTTGTTCCATGTACGTTCCGTCGACGAGTTCAACTCGGAGCGCGTCCTGCATGATAAGTTGTAAACCTACAACTATAGTTGAGTTTCTACGATACAGGGGGCCGGGAGCCGCGCACTTGATCGTTTACCTGAGGACCCCAGGCTTTAATGTTGTTAAGGCGGAATGACAGGCTGAGCGCGGCCCAGTAATTGATCGTGCGCGGCGGGTCATACAACGTATGACAAGTGATGCCCAGTAGCGCATCTCGCCGATCTAACAATGTGGTTGCGACGCGAAAAGCATTATTGGGTGATATGCGCAGCGCGGCCCAGTAATGCATCGTGCTACAAGGAAGTGATTAAATCATAAATTGGACCGAAAATCAACATGTTTGATGTATGAATCTACACGGAGCGGTCCAACTCCAATTCAAATCGCCACTGCATCAGGCTGCAGGCATCTATGCAGCAACCCGTGCAAATGTGTTCCAATCAGTATCACATCATCATTAAATTTTGTATCACGTTGCGACCCCACGGTCGTTTCACTATATCGTCCTGACGATACAGGGCGGGTCATATAATTATAACGTATGACAAATTAAATCCCATGTTAGGATTGACTTTAAACATTAAAGAAGAACATTTTCGTGGACCGGGACCTTATATCCAAGATCGAGTCCAATCTACTTTTCAAGATTCGACCAGTTTGCAGTTGTTCAACACTTTCAGTCAATGAAATGAACTATTCATTAATGGTTTAATTTGAAAATTATTAAACAAACAATTAAATATCAATACATTATATATTTGCGACTTTAAAAACCCTTATTTGCTCAAAAGTGGCATACTGTCTCAAAACCATATAAAATGTACATCTGAAGTCAAATGCATTATTTATGATTAAGTACCACCACGAGAAATGTAATTCTCGGATGATCGATAAAGTAAGCTCAAAAATTACTAATCATTTATAGTGGTAGTCTCTAACATTCTTAAATAATAGCAAAACTCAGAAAATACCATTACCTTGTAATGTTATAAATATTCATTAAAGTTCATACATAAACTCAGTAATATTATTCATAATTAAGTACTTATTACCCCAGACGAATGTCCAGTTTAAGAAATATACTAAGTTCTCATTGAATTGAGCATAATCGTATCATCAATTACTGACAAGTCAGAAATTTGGACCTGAACAGATTTGAGTTTCTTTCAAATGGTGTAAATTATTAGTTCATGGTCAATAATGGTGTCGTCACGTGACTTAGAGAGCAAATCACGTGATCCAGAAAGTAAAGCGCATGATCTTCAGAGCGATTGTGATTTGTACACTGACAACTCTGGCGGGGTCACGTGGTTATACCTCGTTCTAGTTTGAAAGGTAAATCCACCTGAAAACATTAAGTTTATTAAACTAATGGAGAGACACTATTGTTACAAAACAATTAAGAAATTCCTGGCAAATAGCCAATTGGGTCCCGAAAGACGTCACAAAAAACGCAACAATAGAGAAAAGTAGTGTGGATCGTGTAAGTGTGTACATTACTAGAGACTGTTATTCAGGATACGCATTTCGTGAGGTTTAATGTGTAAGTACAGTAGTACATGTGATCATCGGAAAAGCCTCTATTTACTTAGAAACTGCAACTAGGCCGGCTTAATTTAAACTTACACTGAAAGTGAAGTTGGATAGGGTAGAAGAAGGCGAAGGGAAGAGAGAAGGTTCAACTCTGGTCCTCTTGTTTGGACTGGTAACAATGTGGAATGCTGAGGGGGCGTCCTGGTCTTCACTTGATCTCAGTCTACAGTAACTGCGCTTCCTAGGAGACAAGTATACGTTAGTGAGGCAAAAACATACGCAAGATGAACTAATCGTACGGTTTTGAATCCGTAAACTCTGTCGTGAGGAAGTCTATACCCAGTTTTGGACACAAGGATACATTTTCTCTTCTTAACTATGCTACGTGGTGGGGTGAGCAACCCTAAGCTGGAAGGGACTGTTCGAAAAAATTAAGTTGGTCAGTTATGGGTTTGATTAAGAGACGAGGTTGAACTGCTTCAAATATTGATTCTGTTGTGTTGACAACCATACCACAACCTTGAATTTGGACGATCATTCCAGACCTCCCTGCAAACGTTTAGTGAACCCTCACTACTAGTACTGGTGAACTGATAATACACCAGTATTGTTGAATTATGAGCATTAAATTGGTCTAAAACAGCCCAATTAACAGCCATGGTGTTTAAATCCCCAAATTATGAGATTTGGTAGTATTTAAATTCGAACATAAAGTTCACGTATAAATATACCGGGTGGTGGTGGTCTGACTACTCTGTAGTTAGAGGTATAATTCACACCAGGCGGTCTATATAGAGTCAGTTAGTAACGGTTCACTGATTTTAGAAGTAATTCCTTTATACGCGGGGTAATACAACCCTTGGGCTTCTGTCGAACGAATCGGTGAATTTACAAACCTACTAAACTTGGGGTGTATTATAAAGGCTTGGGACTGTGGATTACTTATTTTTGGGTGGTATGAATTTTAAAATTTGGTACTAGAGCGCTTAAGAAGGTGAAGTTAAAGTTAAAACTTGAATAACTTTCCCTTAGAGCCGGGAAAAATATCAATTGTAGCCGGTGCTGGCAGCATTTAAAATTCGGATTTAAAAAAACAAAATTGATCGATTTCGTGCCAGCTGATCATGTACCTTATCGGAATTTCAAAAGAATTTTATAACATCCTTAACAAATTTTACAATTCAGCCGAGCATCTTTATTGGTTATTAAATTCTTTACATAATTCACAGATCTGAAGTTTTGATTAGAATAAAGAATCTGTGGTTAAAAATTGTAAAAAGTGGTCTGATTCTGTTGAAGACAATTTATCATTCATCATGTTCATAGTTGACAACGTCACAACATTTTAACAATTTCACTACATACTTTGCAGGCTAAATTTATTGTTTTTTTGCCATGATATCAGCCATCTTATTTTAGATTAAACATCCTTGAAAACATCAATATTTGGAGTTAAGACCATGGGACCCGATGATGGTTTAAAGATAAATGCCCTAAAGTGCCCTAAAATTAGTTTCTGATATTCCTATTTTACTACGGTTGGGGCTGCGCCATAGACCCAACGTTAAATAACTAAGGCCAACACCACACTTTATGATTCAATTAAAAAGTGAAAATGAGCTTACATCTGAACACCGGTTCCATTACGATTAAAAGTCAGATAAAATAACTCCCAAAATATCCAACTCAATGCTCACCTGTCTTCAGGAGTGATGCGTACAGCGACTGGACGTTTGATCTCAGAAGTGCAAGTTCCGGTATTGGAATTGCAAGTTACCGCCGTGTTTGAAGTACAAGTTGGCGCGTTGTAGACGAGTTGAGGAGGGCAGTGGAGAACGGGGGTTCGGTTACTGAGAGTAGTGGTGGCTGGTGGGCTGTGTCGCTTGGGGGAGGTGGAGGAAACGCACGATAGAGCTTGCTTTAGAGACAGTTCTGAAAAGAGGTGTGGTTTTAACTTTTAGTTGGTAGTTTTCTTAACGGGGTCTGATATATTGGCAGAGATTTTGATTTGGCTTAATCTTGTGACTGAGGGTGGGACATACCAACGGTAACTCTCAGCCTGGTTATGTCGTGTCTTTGTAAACGATTTGAATACAGTGATGCGTAGTAAATAGTGAATAAAGGTCTCGCTAATAGATCTCATCAGATCACGGTATGTTAATCCTCCAGCCCCAAATTGAAATGTGATTTCAGTTGTAACAAACAAATTACGAGCAAACTTACTGGAAACTTTACAGTCAGAGTTCAGGTGGACCCCATGTTTAGCGTCACACTCAAGGTTATTGAGCGTCGTTTGAATTACTCTCCTTCTCAACGTATGGATGCACATGGCTGAAAAGTTTTGTAAATTATTATAAAAAGAAGCTGAGAGCTGTCATGAGTGGCATTCAGCAGTCAGTGGGTGTTTATACCTTCATTAGGGGGGAACCACCAACTTCAGCACAGATGGCGGCCCCCACAAATTATCGACCATTATGTATTTACAAAACGCAATATTATAGTGGTAAAATTATCTACCTTGACCAAACTTGACGTTCACTCGTAAGGGGTCCGATTTTGTGGCGCACATCTTGATAGTGTTTGGACACGTTCGTTCTGCGCACACCGCTTCACACTGAAAAATAATAAGTTTAATACAGGTCTGAAAAGAAAGATCACAGACATTTCGGACAAACGCTTTGAAAAATTTCTGATCAGATGCCGAAGTTTGCCCCTCCAAAGTTAAATTGAGGTCTGGCGTCCACCAGGTCAGTTCAAACACGTGAATCCCTCCTTTCAACTGGTTACAGCACTGATTTTGAACCTATTCTATTTGCGCGTACAAAGATTTCAGGTGGTAATGATTTTAGTTACAGAGTGAATGCATGGATTTGCCGGCAACCAAAGTAGTGCCGGCTGTTTTGATCATACTCTAATCAAATCTCATTGCCCTGCCTCAAAGCACAAGAGGACCATTAAAGCTCGTTAGGGGGAACAGTGTGCGTCACTTATTGTCCTCGCGGGACCTGAAAGTGCTACATTGACTCTAGATTTTGCGAATTCTCTTTGACAGGTCCAGCTACTCACAAACTAACTCCTCATTCTTCTAAACTTGTTGGCATGTTTGTGTGAAAAGAAGCGTGAATGAGGGCACCATGTGAGGAGGATAATTAAAAAACGAGGATCACGTGAGCTGGAATTATATGGTATTATTGGGTAATGCTCATAAGGGCCCGCATCGCAAGTGCGCCCAGCTGTTCGAGGAGGCTTCTCTTTGAACTATTCTTATCACCGCGCTCTGCTGCCGATAAAGTGGTCTATCAAACAGCGGAGGGTCACACCACTCACTAGAACACGCTATCAGCCGACCATGACTTGAAAAGTAGACCTTTATGGGCGGTCCGCGCTGCATCTGGCAGCAAATATCGTGTCAGAATATAGAATAGGGGGGCTGAAAGAGCAGTTAGATTTTATTACATATTTCTGTGGCTCACTGGACTGGAAACTCAAAGGGTGGCCGCTTGTGGGGTCGCAGAAGAAGATGGTAACGCTGCAATTCAAGGAGAGAAGGGACAATAGCGTACTATGGCTCTGTTGCATAATTTGATAAGCGTTACAAATGGGCCTGAGACACGTGTATCTCCTTTGTAGAGACAGATCAGTGACAGTGGAGAGTGAGTGAGCAGTGGAGATACTACAGACCACCATAACACCAACATGGCCCCTGTGCACAAGGGGTCCTGCACCCCGGCCCCGACTAAAACAATTCATTAGCGAGGGTTGATAGGGTTATCTCGTGATACCAATAGTGGCAATGGTAAGACCACCCAACCGGAGAGAAGTGAATCTTGTGGAGGAGTATTTCAAGCGTGAAAGAGTGGAGTATTTGTTATTGTGGGGGACTATTCCTCGTTTCAATATGGTAATTGCATGAACTGAGATGGAATTTATTTTAGCTGATATGTAAAAAAACACACCAACTAACAACATCTCCTCTGAAGACAACTTATAGTCCCGAAATTTTCTTAAATCCTCCCCCCTCCTATTAAATAAGTTCAATTAAATAATTCTGTTATTAGGTGGCGAAGTTTTAGTGCTAGAACAGGTCACAGTATGAAACACATCAGATCTCATGAATATCACGCAATTTACCATATCAAACTTTTAAGCGGAGACCACGAGTCAGCTGGAATTATGAATGTGGCTAAGGACCATGTTGAATCAAAAGGCACTTATCCCCAAAAAGCTGAACAGTTTACAAATTTGCCTCATGGAAGACTGTGGAGTCGGGACAAAAAAGCAACCCACCGGTGTGAGTAGTAATTATTGGGCTCTTTAAGTGGCTCTAATTTGCCATTTTAGAAATTCAGCAGACGGAAAACAGGGGAAACAATGTTGTCACATGATGTTGGGTCATGGTACCCAGTGGCTTTCACATAATTATACGACTCGTCATTACCTTAGGCTGTTCGGGGCCAGATTTGAATCCGGGAACGGAGATTTAAATATAAATTGAGTTCTAGTCAACTGTCTGGCTGAGCTAAACTTTGAGGATAAAATTAAAGATCCAGCCAGAATCATTGGAATACTTACTCAGAACAAAGCACTCAATCTTCTCAAGCCCTTAAGCCTGTGAATTTAAGTACAACATTGAATTTAGCATATTTCCGAGGTAAAAACAATGCCGTGAATGGAACCTAACAATCTCGTTCAAAACACAAAGTTTAATAAAAAGGTGGCTGTGAGCCCTAGGGTTCATGTTTAGTCGCTCTTTACACGAAGCTTAAGATCAAAGGAGCCCTCGGTCCTGAGGAATCGACTTTTCCACACTTTGAAATGAAGCAGACGCTAGGAGGGGAATGAGGCTCAGATAAACCTAGATAAATCTGGACTTTGAGGCCGGGGCCAGAGGGACTTATTTCTTTATTTGTAATTTTTTAGGGAAACTGATAAATGGGATGACCCTCTCAGTCATGAGTAATCTGAGGTTAGATAAAATTGAACTCGATTACCAGAATTGTTAGTGTCTCTCATGATAGTGCCCAGCTTTGAAGTACCACTATCAGGAACCCGTCTAACAGATATAAATACCTATATATATTATATATGTTCATATGCAAGCCTCTTGATTATATATATGTAGTAAGATTGTTAGTTCTACCAATCCTAGAATACCCTGCTACTTTATATTTGCTACCCATTGCCCATTTATAAAATGTTAACTCTGTACTGAATAGAGGGAAGTGACATGATTCTAAAACTACTACTGCCACCTCCCCCCTCCCGTACACATGACGGATTTACAATCCGGGGGAGCGCTACTCAACTGTCTCTAACTCTGTCTCTCTGTGCTCACTCAATCGAGCTTGTCATGCATGATCTGCTGCAAGACAAGCGGCCATTGTTTAGTAATCTCTGCTGAAAAAAGAAGAGCTGGCTACCTCACGCTGTGTGGGGGAGGTAGATATTGTAATTATAGCACCAGATTTACATATACTGTTGTTACAGTGCAGAACAATGGTAGCGCGAGCAAACAAGCAGATGTAGCACTCTAACAAGATGTGTCATGTATTGGGAATGTGAGGATCAGACACCAGCTCTCTCTCTCTCTCTCTCTCTCTCTCTCTCTCTCTCTCTCTCTCTCTCTCTCTCTCTCTCTCTCTCTCTCTCTCTCTCTCTCTCTCTCTCTCTCTCTCTCTCTCTCTCTCTCTCTCTCTCTCTCTCTCTCTCTCTCTCTCTCTCTCTCTCTCTCTCTCTCTCTCTCTCTCTCTCTCTCTCTCTCTCTCTCTCTCTCTCTCTCTCTCTCTCTCTCTCTCTCTCTCTCTCTCTCTCTCTCTCTCTCTCTCTCTCTCTCTCTCTCTCTCTCTCTCTCTCTCTCTCTCTCTCTCTCTCTCTCTCTCTCTCTCTCTCTCTCTCTCTCTCTCTCTCTCTCTCTCTCTCTCTCTCTCTCTCTCTCTCTCTCTCTCTCTCTCTCTCTCTCTCTCTCTCTCTCTCTCTCTCTCTCTCTCTCTCTCTCTCTCTCTCTCTCTCTCTCTCTCTCTCTCTCTCTCTCTCTCTCTCTCTCTCTCTCTCTCTCTCTCTCTCTCTCTCTCTCTAGCTCCTCTCTTCTCTCCACCCCCACATTATACTGACATTATACTGTCACCAGTACGAGATGTTTTACACAATGTTACAAACTACTGAGTTGGAGCAAGAGAGCAGCGGGGGTGTTTAACAATCCTCCTTCTCTCAAGCACCGCCACCAGATTAGCTCTGTTTGTCACGTGACTACCATATAAGGTATTGCTCGTGTCACGTGACTTCAGCCCCGCTATCCAATGATGAGTGGCTGCTAGCGGACACTGGACAGCTAGCAACCGTTAGGTCATGGTCAATGATGCAACTCACGGAGTGAGCTGCGCCCTTAAACTTGGGAAAATGGCAGCATCTAATTTAGTCATCATCATCAGCATTGTGTTAAGATATAATTTATAGAACGTAGCTGTACTTAAGAGATCGAGAGGTTTTAATTAAAATATCCGTAAGTGCCGAATTAAAAGTAGATTGCAAATAGATGGAGACGGTGAAAATCGGAACGCGGGGGCGTAGCACATTGATTGCGGTGCAGTGGCGTGATCTGCAAGACACAATACCAAATATGGTAGTCACGTGACCAGAAGGCCATAGAAGAGCAGTGCCGGAGCCTTTAGTTGGACCTCAATCATTTATCAGGAGCAGGAATAGTGGCCTGTTATTTGTGGAGGTAAGATAATGTGTGACCTGTGAGATTCAGCCCGCAGCAATACTAACAAATAACTACGGCCAGCGTTTTAACATGTTCATTTGTACAGTTCATTGTGATTTTGCCGCAATTCATCTCCCGCCCACGCCCGGTCACACACTCAGTATGGAACAAACCCTTGAGGATTCCAGTTTGTAGACTTTCACGACAGGGTTCGGTGACAGAAATTTAATTACCATCAAAAATTTCCCCAATAAATAAATTATTTTGCAAGCCCTAATAAATAAAAGGACGGTTGTAAAAATGGTGATACAGAATAAAGCCGAGTGATCTAACACCCAAGTACATGTCTAACTTTGGGTAGGATCACACCTTGCATAATTTAAACAATTTCTTAATTAAGAAAGCATGCTCAAAAAGAAGTATTACCTTGAAGAGTGGAGCAGCTCGTTTCCTGGTATCAGGGTGAGAGAAAGCAGATCTCTTGAAGTACCATGTGGTGTGAGGGATTATCCGTCTCAAGTGATCTCTCATTATCCCCGTCCAACCTGAGAGGAGGGGAGTGTTAGGGGCGGAGGGAGGGAGGGAGGGAGGGGTGAAGGGAGGGAGGGAGGGGTGAAGGGAGGGAGGGAGGGGTGAAGGGAGGGAGGGAGGGGTGAAGGGAGGGAGGGAGGGAGGGGTGAAGGGAGGGAGGGAGGGGGAAGGGAGGGAGGGAGGGAGGGGGTATAAGTGGTTAAAATGAGAGCTGAACTTTAGAAAGTTACATGACAAACAAATTATATGTTTTGAAGAAGTTTAATGTCCAGGTCATAGTCTAGAGGTTAACGCTAAAGTTTAGTGTCGAGCTCAGAGTTTACAGCTTAAAGTCTACCTTAGTGTCTATTTTATAGTTTAGCTCAAAGTTTATATTATTCCACAGTATGTACTCCAATATGTGCCAATCAGTTTCAGATCACGTGTCATATTATCTTATTTAACCGCAGTTTTGATACCTTCAGCTCAACAATTCATCTGAAGTTCCCAGGCTCCTTCTCTTCGCTTTATTTATCTATTATTTTTGCTTTGTTCCCAACTGTGAACTGTTTAGACGATAAATTACAGTAACTGTTACTCAGCAACAACTGGCGGTACATGGGAAAGGGAATGGAACGTTTACTTTTCACTGTAGTTACAGTATACAGTGTAACATATATATATACAGTATAGTGGCGAACTCATTGTTCTTTCTAGACAAAGTAGCCGAGTTATTAGACATTGTTGTGGAGAAGTCATATACCTTGAGCTGTGAGCATATACTTCAATTTTCGGTGCGATAAAGTGATGAGGCTAAACAATAAGTTTCATCAAAGAATTGTGTGCACTACGATTTAAAAGTAGGATTTAATTACATAACGGACATAATAACTAGCAGTTTTATTATTATATTTTGACAAATTCACCGATCTTTTGGACGGGTCTTGTGTTAGAGAGGGTATGTTAATTAAGAATGTCTCTCATTTCGAAATGGCCGCACAGTGTCTGTTTCAAAATCTAAATACTGTGCTCTGCAGAATTTGTAAAGTATGTTGTATGTTATCACATAAGTTATTTGAGTTTGATTGTAATTCATGAGAAGGGGTTTGACAAGATTCTCATAACATTACTCTGCTAAATTTAGGAGGATATTAAACTTTAATTCCATAAAACTAGAAACCAGAAAATTAGCTTGCTACTTAAAAGAACTCGTGGAGAGTGTGGTATTTTACAAAATACTGAAGTACCTTGTCTAATATGCCTTCTTACTCCCGCCCTCAACTTCTAGCCTTTACCTACTTTACGTATAATAATGGTGGTCAGGACACTGGACACATTAAACTAAGTACACAATCCATCTAACTGTACTATATATCTTGTGAAAAAAGGTCGGGATATCATGGACTGTAGCTGTGGTATAAAAGTTTGGACCAAGAGAGTAAATCTGCGAGCACAAAAGTAATAAGCAATAAGCTGAAAACTTTGGTTAAACGTTGGTGTGACGGACTAACAAACTACTTGAGCAACTAAACGAACTCACCCTCTCTCAAAGCTCCAGCAGTTCGGCCCAGAGGGATTATAGAGTGTAACTCTGAAATGGACAGTGCGAAGGAGGTGTTCGGGGTGGGATATAACTGAAAATAAAAGGTGTTACTAAGGTGTTACAACAACTAAGAGGTGTTAGTTCGGGCTAGAACGAAGAAAGTTTGAGGAAAAGGGGGGAAGCGTATGATTAAAATTGATATTATAGAAATAATATTGATCATTTTAATGAAAAGTTTGCTGTTTCGTAGGGTTAAATTTATCTCGATACTTAAATTAATTCCCAGAAGTAAGCCAGCCACAATCTTACTCAAACACATAATTCGTGGTAATCGAATCAACAGATTCCTATATAATTATATAACCGACGTATTCGTACAAAATTTCAAGTTCTACGGTGGTTAAAATTAATTTAGACTTTATCGGCGTTTTTCCCATTTTGACAACTTCACAACGTCGGCCAGCACGGCGTTCGAATCTAATATTAATATAATTATAAGTATTAACTCATGAAAGGGGCCGGGTTATGTAACTGATAAAAATATGATAAGACAGCAACTTATTGGGGAATTTATGACCGAAATTTGATCGGAAATATAGGGTAAATACATACGGGGTACGAAATGTAGAGGACCTTAATAAACACTATTGGACGTTACAGCTAAGCTATCTCCTCAATTGATTTTACACACAATCTGGTGATCAACTTTATGTAATTTAATTTACTTTAGATAATTTACTAAGATAATTTGACTTCGTTGACAGATTGATTGGCGGAAACCTTCAACTGTAACTGTAAACGTGAAAATTTCAGAGCTTGACTAAGAAATATAATATGCTCAACGGCATTTTATCTTTTTATATAGGAACACTACCATTGTGATGTTATCAACTTGTATAAAGTAGTAATGCCGTTCGTGCCCCCAACATGGAATCTAGTAACTATAAGTCTCACTACACAGTACACTTCGCATACTATTATTGCATATAAGTAAAGTAGAAGAGTTAAGCTGCGTCTCAAGATTCAATTCTGTGCTGACAAAGGAGGAAAATATTTGGAGTTTCTAACTTTCAAAATTCAGAAGTACAAAAGCGAAAGCAAGAGATCTTTGAGTTTGATAAGATGGAAACAAAGAAGCTAACTATACTTATGTCTATTGTCTAAACTTATGTACGTATAGATTTACGGCATAAGCCGAACTAAATATTTGCGAAGATCAACTTACTTTTTCTGTAGAAAAATTCTGATCAGTGGTAATAAATTGAGTAATAATGTAAACCTTCAATTTCATTTGCATTTGACAATCTAACGGAATTCCCGAATTCCTCAAGAAACGTAAAATACTATGAGCCATCTCCCGATGGTGACCTCGAGAATCCATCAGCTAATCCTTCGTTGCTTCTGTCACAGAAATGCTAAACGAATAGTTTCTTTCAGCTATAAACAAAATTTGCAAATTTATCAACGAAACCGCGCACTATACCGAATCGCTGCAGAGTCAAACCTTGGTTAACAGTAAACTTGCCTCGAATTCTATCTATATTCTATGAACCATACTATCGTACACTTGGTACTTTTATTTTTTGGTACTTTTAATGTCCCACTCAAATTAGAACTCGTATCACCAGGTCATCCTATATTGTAGCGGATTATTCTATGTTCGGTGTGCGAATAATGCCACATCAGTATGAGTAAGATCATTCATGATGAGCAATAATGTGGTTTTCAAGAATTTTCGTAAGTTATGGGCGCTTATTGTTTTCTATCATTGATATTCAATATATTACTAATATGTACCAGGCATCAGATTAAAAATTCACCAACGGAAACACGAAAAAGTGATACGAACGTCGCGGCGACACGCTATTGTACATACTTATAAATTAGAATGATTAATTATTATTCCAGCCGTGAAATCTATGGTGAGTTATTGTATCATTTCATTTCTTATGAAGAAAACAAACATTCCCTTTTGCGTCAGGATAACTGGAAAATGTTTGTTTCGACGAAAGATATAGATCTTCGGAGCTCACACTGCTCCTAAAATCTGGATATTAATCTCGCCTCGGACCGCGAATGAGAATTTGAGGCGCTTCTACCGATCGAGTCATGTCATCTATAGTATTAGTTATTACATAAATTATTTTAGACTACAGCTCTTAAAACAGTGTTTAGTTAATAATGTTCACATCAGAGTAGAGCAATTTGATAATCGTTCGAGAACAAAAGAAGTGTCCGTGTAATGTAATAAGTAGTAGTGTTGTTGAAAGTAACACATTCTTACCCCCATGAAAAAGTTGCCGAACAATTACCACAGGAACCGAGACTGGCGAACCCTCTTCAAAGTTTTACGTCTTGTAAACTAGACTACGTTAGATGAAAAGGTTTAAAGAACAATTGTCACGAAGTAATATACTGAAGAACTAGCTCAATTCCAATCTCTTCACAACATCAAAACATGTTAACGATGACGATTACGATGTGACTTGGTGACTAGCCCAATCGAGTGTTCATGCTCGCCGTTTAATGAGACAGTGTTCAATAGACGCGTCGATTGAAAGCCATTCGACCTATTCCTACGCCAACAATGAACTTAAATTGATCGAAACAAAAGATTTGCAGGACGAATCAAGTGACGGAAAGTTCCAACCTTAAAGCCGGTAAGTTCTTTTTTTCTTGAGAGATTAAGTTTATTGGACTCATGATCTGTGATGAGCGCCTTTGATCTTGCAGCTTAGCTGTCCTTTTGAGGCAGGGGGAGTCCACCAGGTAATTAGAATCTATGAGCCACATTTGATACATTATCGACCTAAAGGGTGAAGGAGAGGGGGACCAGGGGACCTGCCCGATACAAAGCTCCGGCAAATTAGGGCAGGTAACAGCTGAGTCTGAACCACAACACCGTGTAAAAGCTAGACTCGGTAAGGAGCACTAAGTCTAAATGCAGTGCTGCACCCAGCTGTTAGAAGGAGATGGGCGACCCCATGACATATTACAAACTCAGCGAGCTGGAGCCTATATGGTGCTCAAAGGAAAGTGGAATCAGTGAAATTCGATGAAAGACCCGTCATCCAAGGCACTCAACTATAGCGACAATCTCCTTAATAAACTTATCGTTCGTGCCGTGCCTAAGTATCGGTAGATTAAGGTTCGCGATGTTACAGTTACGCCAGCAGTTAAGCGATCAAACGCAAACAGGAGTACGAATGATTGAGTTAGGTCGACTAAGGACTCACTAACCTGGGAGTTACTCAGCGGGTCCTCGTTCTCAGGGTAAAAGCTCGATTTCAAACTCTTCAACAGCTCCATCTGCTTCTCGTAAAACTGTCTTGTCAGTTCCAATTCCTTGCTCTTCATATCACACTGTGCTGGCAGGAAGGATTCTAGCGTAACCATCGGCTGAACAACGTTAACGGGCATTTCAAATCAAAATATGACCACTCGCTGCATCTGCGCTGGATACAATGATGGTCGTCAGCTGATCACGCGTTGGACACGTGATCAATCACGCGACCATCACTTGATCTTATTCTGACGCGCGGAGCTAGTCAGTCAATTGTAAATCGGGCGCAAACAAAGGACAAAAGTAGTTGAAAGTATTCCGAAAACCGCTCCAAATCGGTAGCCTATACGCCAAGTGGTCAGACGAGTGACAGGGCCCTTAAATCACGTGACTCCGTACTCTAACAGCTGAAAACCCCCGGAATAACCACCCGTAAATTCCCCGGAGTGGAAGAGAGAGAGTCAAGGTGCGTGTCAGAGAATAAGAGGTTCAGAGTAAACGGGGAACCTCCAATGAGGGTTCCACCCAGGCAACCACGTGAAACATTACTACCTAATAGTAATAGTTCACATCATGAAAAACTGCAACATATTATACCATCTCTCTAAACCACCGTGATTGTGGATTACAAAGAGAAGAAATTTAAGATGAGGCAAGAGCGAATATTACTGTTAGTGTTTATTATATGTGTCAAGAGATAAGTAATTCCATACGGTGATGTGCCGTTATCGTATCGAGCTACGAGCTTTGTCGTTAAACCTAATCACAATGGAGGTGCAGACACTATATTTATTATTTCTTGTAACTACATACTTAGAAGTCTGTGGTCATTAAGTTTGAGTCATCATCAAATGTCGTTGTAGTCAGAACGTATCAGAATTTCAAAGTATCTACAATGGACAATCTGCTATAATCACAGCCCGGTGTCCGGGCCGAGCGTTCAATATTTAACCGGAAATAAGGTCGGATTTTTCACCAAACTGTGATCGGTCAAAATTATGGATGGCCTAAATTATGAACAGAAAAGAAACATTTGTCAAAAACAAATACCTAGGGAACATTTTTGAAGAGTAATAATTCAGGCGCAATTTTAATGTTTGTTCGTTACTCGAAGTCAATTAAACAGAAATCTCATCGATAAACAAAGTACACTGTGCAGATTAAACAAATCCAATAAATCATTGCTAAAATTAACAGAAAACCCTTTCACCATTAAAGAACCACTGTAACACCAACGGTTATAAAACGCCATTGTACCGGTAAAGAACCACCACGGGTGTTCTCAGATTATTACACAGTAGCTATCAACTGGACTGCATTTGTACAATAATATTATACACGTAAAGCAATGAGAGTATTGTAAAAATATAGGTTCAAAATATGGTTTGACAAAACGAGCGGCCAGAATCATGGGCTAGCAAAGAGGGCAAATTTCTCAAATAAGGGCCGTCTACAAATGGGCCGCTAAGGTATTTGGTCCGGGATCATCAGCTCGTCCGGAACTTGGTGTTCCCGAGCTAGCTCAGTGTTATCTTACTCTGTAGTCTGTACTTATAGATTTTAAGTTTTCAATCAGTCAGCAGTCAGATCAGTAGTAAATTTTGGGTATTCAGTGTGAATATAATTTCGGAATATGGGGTTGGAAATAAACCTATGTTAAATTTTCTGTGGTCAGTGCTTTTGATCAATGATACTTTTTCATTAAGTTTGATGGGTTTGAAAAAAGTTTTACCAGCTCCCACAGAGCCACACAAGTGGGCTGCGATCCTATTCTTAGTGTTTAAAGTGCCGACAGGGTCAGCTGGTTTGGGAATACGCTTCAAAGGTACAACGTCACCCGGCCCCGTAACTAATGAAGCGTTGCAAATAAGTAGGTACATAAAAACCTAAAGACGGCAGTCTGGTTTTAAGTGCTCACCCAGTTGTAACCAATTACTTTTGTGGTATAGCTGCAGATTACTGAAACATAAATTTGGTTATCAGTAACGAGATCAGTTGTGATCTAAGATGATTTGGGGGACCGAAGATTTTTTTCGTCAGTTTTCAAGAATAAATGACCAATGGCAATGACCCCCCACCAATGCCAGGACTTGGAGTTTAAGTACCTACCTAAATCGAGGGAATGATTATGATCCGTTATATATTTAATGGGGATGATCGCGATGGAGATTTTCGTTTACATTTACAATCAGACTAGAATTTAGACTACAGGAATTTGTTATCAGCCAAAAATATTTTCGGCAAAAACAAAAGAAATCATAGATAGCCGATATTTATACTACTTTGGCTGATAAATTATTAAAAGAAGACAATCTGAAGAAGCTACACACAAACCCAAAGTGATAAGTGAACTCATGCCACTTCAAGTTCAATTAACAATTTAGAGGTCCAAGGAGCAGCTGGGCAACACACGTGTTTGTGAAATGGCATTCTCGGTTGAAGAACAATATAAAATGTATACAACGTAAGGCGGCCACCACGAGCTGTAGGGCTACAAAAAAATTTTCAGGTCAATGCCGGAATGTAGGTACATCCCTCGAAAGATGAAGGTACGTGACTTAGAAAATCGTAATTTATTCTCCAAACTTTATTCACGTATCAATTGTACAAACTCACGGACTCACGCGGAGCCCAAAGTAAAGCCCAAAAGTCACAAATTGAATCTAAAAATCATGCTTGGTGCTCTTTCGAAGTTGAGGTCCAGAGACGAATATCAATAATCAACGTCAAATTGTATTTTATGTAGAACAAAATGAATTGAACGAGAGGCCTGTAAATATGACCACCAAGGTGGAATGTGGATCTACGTCGGACGTCACAGGTCCCTGCCCTTAAGTCCTCCTTCCTCATAAATAAAAAGGAAATGATTCAAAGGCCAGATCGCATGCGTTCTAAGCTGAATTAGCATTATCACTTGTAGTGAGCTTAGTGAGCTCGCTAAACACCTTCAACTCAGTATTACGCTATTTTGATTGAAACACACGCCCACACATTCCTCAATTTCAGGTGAAAACACTACAAGTCACACTGTGACAGAAGTTAAAGTAAGGTATCAAAAGACCACCCACATACCAAGATGAAAACTACGGGCAAAACAGGGTCCGCTACCTTCTTACTTACCTTTCAACAACTGGTGGTGGCCTGCAGAGACAAAAGGATCTAGCTCAAAGCTCGTGGCACAAGATTGGAATTGTTGCACCAATATGACGAGAGTACTCATCCTCAGATTTTAATAGTGCAGAGATTTAAACGTTTCAGAGCAACATCATACATGGGTTATCTTTTAGAAAAGCTTCAGACCATTGGTTAAGCCAGCTTTTTGGCCTTGCTTAGCTGAAGAATGCGTCGTGTTTCAGGTCCCCTCCGAGGGTCGACTCCAGTTTGAAAACTGTGACAATATACGTTGTGTCTGCAGAGTTTACCTCTAAAGTTTGCTCGGCAGTTGGTCGCTGCCACAACAAGTTACGGGTCGGCGTGTGCCGCCCACTAACGAGCAAGCTCGTTGCTCTAGCATTCCTGTTACATTTCGTGTGCAGAGTTGTCAAAAAACGACTCAAATATGTCAAAATATGCATGATTTGATTTACGGATCAAGTCAACTTATAATCCGCAGTTTAAAGGTTGAAATATAAAAATTTGTCAAGCTGGCAGTCGGAGTAGTTCAGGGGATACTTAGCGCTCGCTTCAAGGAATGAGGGGCGGGGTTATGCTATGTAGTGCTCAACACTACTCGGACTCCTTATCTTACTTTCTACTAAGCTAAACTCAAGTTCTTAAAATTAATTTGCCCCAAACGTCACCGATCTGTCGACCTTACTTATAACGATTAAACTATTTACGATAGTCTTTTAATCTAAAATACGATGATTGAGTGTTTAAAAATCTAGAGATTCAAAATTTTAAGACGGAAAAGCTGTGATTTGCAGAAGTTTGTGCCCTATACTCTAGTAGCAGGGCATAGTTGAGTGTGCACTTCGATGTATACGATTTCTGACAACACAGGGTTGTTTGTTAGGTCATTCTAAACCAGAATCGTTTAGGTGGACAATTTGTTTCGCTAGAGACAACCCTACAGGGCAAATTTTCTAAATTACCCTCAGTCGCGTATACGGGATTTTTGTATTTCGGTTCCTGAAGGTCATGGAGACTTTATTTTTAGCGTAAAATTACCGCAGTGGCCACATTTATATACAACTTATTAATCAATGTATGGTCTAAAATTGTTTGTTCCCGAGATATCTGCAAAAAACTAATTTAAGCTCAGGCGTAGGCACAAATTTCATCAAATTTGTATCTCAGCTTCTGAAGGTCTTAGCGACTCAAACTTTCGCTTAAAATGACCGCAATGCACATGTTTATATTGGCACTATAAAGGTCATAAAGGTCCAAAATGCTTGCTTTTGGAAAAAATCCAGAAAAACTGATTTTCACTGGGGCGAGTGAAAAAAATCTACTCTAGAAGCTAATTGAAATCGAGTATGCAGTTTGGTGTCTACAAATTTTCTAGAAACCAGGTCCTTTGTAAGGTTATTCTGGATCAGAATTGATAAGGTACGCAATTTCTATCAGTAGTCCCAACCCTAGGGGGGAAATTTCTAAATTACTCACAGGCGCAAATATATTACTTTTGTATCTCGGCTTCAGAACTTTGTAGGGGCCTCTCTTTTAGCTCAAACTAACTGCAAAAGCCACATTTACATGTATATACAAGCAATAAAGCAACATAGGGTTTATAGTGCTTAGCTTTGGAGATATTCATTAAAAACTGTTTTAACTTTCGTGCATCCTAAAATATTAACATCAAACATGTAATTAATTTTGGTATCCTGGGCTAAAAATGTCTTACGGACACTTTACTTGCAGCACAGCAAAATTTTCAGCATGAACACATTCAGATAATATTTATGGAGCAACACAAATTAGTTTCAGAAGCTCCTTCCAGCTATCTTATCTTATCCCCAAATGTATACATCTAATTACCATCTCTCTGGCTACTTCAAACCACTTCAATCCCCAAATTTATACATGAACATCTAACTATCTCGTTATAGCTACCACAAGTTGGGCTCTCTCCAGTACTGTTGGACTATTATGGCTAATCAACTTCAATCCCACCTCAATCCTCATGAAGTAGAATCTACTTCTAGCTACCTTTAATTCTGCTACCTCCATGCCATGCCTATATCTACCTAGCTACCACCAGCACGTTATAATTTTAGCTCTTTCTAGCAACCTCTGAATGCTACCTCCTGCTCTATACAGGTACCACCAGTGGGCAGAAACCACTAATTCAAGCTCTTTTCACCTACTTCGGCTACATCTATTTAGCTACTACTGCAAGGCCCCCTGGCCCTCTAACCTCTGCTCTTTCTAGCAAACTTAACTTAAGCTACCTCTTGCCTTTTATAGCACCGCCAGCAACAATTTATTCTGGCTCTTTCCGGCTGCCTCAGCTGCATTCAACAATTTCCAGCTCATTGAGGAAGAGGAAACCTGCTATTTCTAGTAACCTCTGAATGCTACTTCCTGCTCTATCTAGCTTCCACCAACACCCACTAATTATTGTTCAGCTACCACCAGCACCTGCAAATTCTAGTCCTATCCAGCAAACTCAGACTACATTATGCTATAAACAGAAAGCACAAGCACCCTCAAATTCTAGCTGAAGCCTGGAGGTAGCACGAATTAGGTAAAAACAGATAGAATTTGAGAGTGCTCAACCAACTGAATATGGATGGATGTAGCCCGAAGTAGCTAGAAGAAGCTAAAATTTGTGGGTACCGTTTGCTAGTGTTAGCTGGATAGAGCAGAAAGTAGTCTGAGGTTGCTTAATAGGGCTAGAATTTGCAGGTGCTGGCGATAGCTGAACAGAGTAGGAGTAAATCTGAGGTTGATGGATAGGGCTAGAATTTGCAGGTGCTAGTGGTAACATTTAAACAACAATTATTGGGTGTTGGTGGAAGCTAGATAGAGCAGGTAATAGTATTCAGAGATTGCTAGAAGGAGCTAGAGTGGAGGTAGCAGGATTGAAGGAAACTAGAAGTAGATTCTACTACATGAGGTTGGATTGGAGTTGATTAGCCATAATAGCCAAACAGTACTGGAGAGAGCCCAACTTGTGGTAAAAACGGGATCCCGGCTTAATCCCGATCCCTAATCCCGGTCTTAATCCCGGTCCTGGCACTTTTTCCCAGTCCCAGTCCCGGCCAAACAAGCGGTCCCGGTCGAGCCTTGGCTTTAACGAGATGGAAGCAACCAGGGAGATGGTCAGATGTATAAATTTGGGGATTGAAGTGGTTTGAAGTAGCCAGAGAGATGGTTAGATGTATACATTTGGGGATAAGATAAGATAGCTGGAAGGAGCTTCTGAAATTGAATTGTGTTGCTCCATAAATTTTATCTGAATGTGTTCATGCTGAAAATTTTGCTGTGCTGCAAGTAAAGTGTCTGTAAGACTTTTTTAGCCCAGGATACCAAAATTAATTACATGTTTGATGTTAATATTTTAGGATGCACGAAAGTTAAAACAGTTTTTAATGAATATCTCCAAAGCTTAGCACTATAAACCCTATGTTGCTTTATTGCTTGTATGTAAATGTGCCTTTTGCAGTTAGTTTGAGCTAAAAGAGAGGCCCCTACAACGTTCTGAAGCCGAGATACAAAAGTCATATATTTGCGCCTGAGGGTAATTTAGAAATTTCCCCCCTAGGGTTGGGACTACTGATAGAAATTGCATACCTTATCAATTCTGATCCAGAATGACCTTACAAAGGACCTGGTTTCTAGAATTGTTGTAGACACCAAATTGCATACTCGATTTCAATTAGCTTCTAGAGTAGATTTTTTTCACTCGCCTGAGTGAAAATCAGTTTTTCTGGATTTTTTCCAAAAGCAAGCATTTTGGACCTTTATGACCTTTATAGTGTCAATATAAACATGTGCATTGCGGTCATTTTAAGCGAAAGTTTGAGTCGCTAAGACCTTCAGAAGCTGAGATACAAATTTGATGAAATTTGTGCCTACGCCTGAGCTTAAATTAGTTTTTTGCAGATATCTCGGGAACAAACAATTTTAGACCATACATTGATTAATAAGTTGTATATAAATGTGGCCACTGCGGTAATTTTACGCCAAAAATAAAGTCTCCATGACCTTCAGGAACCGAAATACAAAAATCCCGTATACGCGACTGAGGGTAATTTAGAAAATTTGCCCTGTAGGGTTGTCTCTAGCGAAACAAATTGTCCACCTAAACGATTCTGGTTTAGAATGACCTAACAAACAACCCTGTGTTGTCAGAAATCGTATACATCGAAGTGCACACTCAACTATGCCCTGCTACTAGAGTACTAAGTAGCTCCCAAATTGTACCTCGTTTTACCAGGTGCAGTTGTTGCTTTCCCCAAGAATGCCAGCCATTCGGAGATCTACCATGTTCCAATATTGCAGTCCAAAGCACTGCGTGAGTATGACTTACCCTTACGGCAGTCATAATTCCATATCCAGTGCCTGTAGTGCTGACTATCCAGTGCTACATGAATCTCAAGTACATGAGAAGCAGCCGAGTCAGCACCACTACTGCTGTCACGTGACACCAAATAAGCAGTGTGGGAGTATAGTGTGTGGGGGTTGATAGCGCGGCTGTGTGTGTATGTGATCGAGACATGCTACTTCGCCTCCTCAACTGCTAGCTCTGGATCTAGAGTTTTCTATGGAAGTCGTGGGAGGCTAAAGTAGGAGGGTACTTCGTTCTTCGGAACGTGGTTAGTGAGATTCATTGTGTAATGACCTCCGCGGTTAATGAAATAGATGAAAGAGACGTTGATAATGTCACATCAGGGAACTACAACATACTAGGATTGGAGAACTACAACATTATAGGATTGGAGAAGGCAAAAGTAAAAGTGTGTTAAACGTTTAGGTCGTGTACTCATAATGTAGTAGGTCGCTAAACATAGAAAGTACAACTTGATAACACATAAGTCTAGGTATTCTAGGAATGAAGTACATTGGCTGATCAGATATTGTGGCTCGGAATGGAAAGCGCATTCTAATAACACGTGACAGCCTGAAACCATAAGCAATTAGCACGTGCCAAAAATAAGGTTCTCTTGTCAATCTAAGCAAAATAATGCTGATCAATAAAGTACAATGTGATTGGAAGCGACAATATTTAGACAGCAAAATGATTCCGAACTTAATATTATGTCAGAAATAAGAAATTGAACTTCAGTCTGTCAAAAAAAGATCAAGGCGCATATACCTTTACAATTATGAGCAACTACAAGGTGTTGCTACTGAACCGTTACAAAGTGGCTGTTGGACTTTCTCGATATAAATATATCCGAGCACTAAAATTAACCACCGCCAAAATCGCAATATTTTTAGCCACTAGGGGCACGTCGACGCTGGATTTGTTGCTTTGTGCTTTAGACAGACCTCGTTACCTTACTAGACGTTTGACAGCGTGTAGCCTGTCACGTGACTTCATCCCCTGCTCTGATTGGCTACCCTGCTGATCAGGTCTGTTCTTATTGGCGGGTAGGAGGCCCTGCTGTGAGTCTCGTTAGAGCAATGAACTGAAGAGTGGCAGGGTGAGCGGATGTGGAGGTTCACATGACCAGCCCCCGTCCTCCCCCATTGGACCGCACTGACACCTCTCAATTAATCAATTAGCTCACCACACTCTCCCCGAGATTCTCTTCCGGCCCATAACCCGGTATAGAGAAGTACAGGGCCCGACACCCACTCAGCTAACAAGCGGGAGGCAGTTCACCTCTCCTCCCGCCCACCTTCCCCCACCCTCTCAGTCACTCCTCCGTCTCATACGGCATACCTCCACCGTCTAACACTCTAACATATACCACAGCTCTACAGGACCAAAGCTGCATCTGCTCTGGTTCAGGCATCCCCTTCAAACAGAGGAGTCCTGAGAAAATGTCGACAAGGAAGGGCCCCAATTAACTCCTTCAAGCAGAGCATGTTATTGGCATTAAGAGTAACTCTAACATCCTCGATTGTATGGGTTCCCTTTAATTGACCGCCCAACTTTTAGTTATCCGTCAAACCTTCAGATACTTCGCACTAATTCTCGCAATGGAGGCATACTGAAAACTGAAAACTGAAAACTGAAAACTGAAAACTGAAAACTGAATAATTGATAATTCATTCAATTTCATGTCCAAACTCCAAACACTTAAGCTACAGCAAAAAAAACACCACCTTCTAGAAATAATTCACTACAACCATGAGATTAGAATAGATTGTCTGTAAGTAGTAAATTATTCGTAGAAAACTTCCTCAACATCGGTCACTGGAACAGAAGCAAGAAAAGAAGAAATACAAGTTTATCTGAAAAAATACAACTTCTTCAACTGATTGTGTATCTGTGCATGTTCTTTTGAACAGCTTCACTGAGATTGTACTAGCAGCTTGTTTAATTATTCTCTGACTTTCCAGGAATCGGGAAAATGAAGGTATATTGTATCGAAATAGATAATTTGACCACTAGACCCTTTTAGAATTTATACCAAAGATTACGGTCGTGTATTAACAGTCGCTCGATTAACTTTCTAATATGAAATTTGTATCTTACTTTGGTAATTCCAACAGCTATCGGCCGATTAAAAAAAGCCTGATGATCTTAAAAGACCCGCTATGGTTCAGGGGGTGTCTATTTTCGCCCGTGGCTTGGCTACAGGGACCTAGCTCCTAAATTAACCCTCAATAACGGTTTTCCGAGTATTGGGTTGAGTCGACCGTGGACACTGGTTAGACCCGATGTTAGACCCGAAGTTCTTAGCTTACCCAAGGGATTGATGGTACCTGGCGGATACCTGGCGGATTACCTCTAGATAATGAACTGTCCACGCTACCACTAATATGATTGGACATTTTTTGAGGAGAGATTTAGATTTTTCCTGTCATAAGATAAATGTTCATTTGGGTAAATTTAAGTTGAATGGAACAAAAACAGACTCCCGAATATTTACAAATATAATAAAACTTTCTAGTATAATCTAGTAATAGTATTATAAATTTAAAAATTATAAAAAACTGTTGTGTGCTGTTTTTAAATATAAGAAACTGGGTAGAAATAAAAATAAGGGTCAGGAATCAAAGATGTTTATGATTGGAAAAATGACTTAACCAAATCAGGCATGCAGTCCCATATATCCCTTTATTCGAAAATCAACACTGTATCTTGCATTTGGCGGATGACTACAGCAAATTTTAACCCTCGACGCTGATCAGCCATTCTGGCGCTACCCCAACTGTTCCTAGTAACCTTCAAATCGTAGTATTGTGATAGCATCATATTGTTGAGACTGTCAGTAAGTGGTCTGATCTCCCAGATGAGGAACCCAAGCCTAGTATCATCCTACTCTTTGTCGTCAAAACAGTGCTCGATCATTTTCCTAGATCTGAATCCCCCGTCCGAGATGCCCGTCCAACGACACGAATCTAGTTAAGGGATAGATCCGTCAACTTTCTTAATCCTACCTTTTATACTCTTATCTGAGTTTATAATCTTGAACCCGCTCGGTTAGATCAACGAGTTTTTAAAACTGGTAGTGGTGCGGTCCGGTTAAACTTAATTCATCTGGTGGCAATATCAAGTGTGATTGATTGAGGAGCACTACCCGAAGGCATTACTCGGCACTAACGCCTTAAAATCTTTAATTACAATCAAATATAAATATATGCACACAATGTATAAAGTATTAATAATGTATAAAATATGATTATGCTATTAGCAAATTTAAATAGTACTATTAAGAATTTTAAATAACTCTTATCTCTTGACTTAAATTTAGAACAGCGACACAGGGTCTGAAGAATGCGCGGTGATATTTTTATCTTTTAAAAGTTGTAAATGACAGTGAAATTGCGCGGTTTCGATAGCATTGTAAAAAATGCTCGAAGATAGTCATATTTTGTTATGAGGTTAAAGTTTTGTTGCTCGTTATTATGATCAACGTATGTTGTACCAAATTATTTAAATTTCTAAAAGTACGAAATTTGAGTTGTCCCAGTCCTTGTCATCCGGTTTATGTGCTTGTGCAGTAAGCACATGCTTGTTGACAGTAGACTTGAATGAATTTAGGAATTTGTCTTGTAGGCAAGTGGTGACATATTTTATGTCCTTGTTAATAATGTTGACTGTTTGGTTATATAACTTAGGCCCAATGTAAGAAATGCTCTTGTCTGAATTACATAAACGGTTAAATGGTACTGCAAAGAACTCAGGTTCTCTTCTAGGTGCGTTTAAGTTTGAAACAGTGAACATTCTTATAATATTTGGTGGTGCAGTGTTAGAATAAACTTTGTGCATTAAGCATAATATACATTTAGCTATCACGTTCGGTAAAGCTAATACTTCTAGTTTATTGAAAATTTCCTTTGTGTGTGAAGGTGTGCTATTCAGATCTTTGTCATAAAAATAGCGGTGGTATTGGTTATCTGCAGCGCGAATGCCCTTTTTCTGGGCCGAGAAGACTCTTTTAACGGAGTTTAGCGATCTTGTTCCCCAAACTGTGCAGCAGTAGTACAAGTGAGACTGAACAAAGCTGTTGTATATCAACTTGAGTGCTTTGTTAGGTACTGAGCCTTTGAGTTTGTAGAGAATACCCGCATTTCTAGATACTTTAGTGGCTAAATGTCTAATATGGTGGGCCCAATTTAGCTTAGTATCAATGATCACGCCAAGAAACTTTTCGTGATAACTTTGCTTTAGTCGCTCACCTCCCATGTAGATTTCTATATCCTTAGTTTTTTTATTTGTAAAGATCATATATTTAGTTTTGCTAGCATTTAATTTGAGCCCGTTATTAGTAGCCCAATCAATTATCAAAGTCAGAATCTCATTCACCAATGCATTAAGTTGTTCAAATGTATCTGTACTTATTATTAGGTTTGCGTCGTCAGCGAAATAAATATGTTTAGCTAAATTACTAATCTGAGGAAGGTCGTTGATGTAGATTATGAACAGAATTGGTCCGAGAATGGAGCCCTGTGGTACTCCGTAGTTAAGTTTGAGGTGAGAGGACTTGCAGTTGTTGACGCTCACGTATTGCTCTCTATCGGTTAGATATGAGTGAAACCAAGATAAAGCCAACCCCCGAACTCCATAGTGCTCAAGTTTTCTCAGAAGAATACTGCTGTCAACCATGTCAAAGGCCTTGCTGTAGTCCAATAGAAGCAGTGCTGTGACCTGCTTTTTTTCTAGTGCCCTGTGAATATGGTTTTGGGCTTCTAGTAAAGCATGTTCGCAGCTGTGCCCAGCCCGAAATCCGTATTGAGAGTCAAATAGGATTTTCTCTGTCTTTAAGTGATCTAATAGTCGCGCTTGCATAATTTTTTCAAAGATTTTTGAGAAACATGAGAGTAGTGAGATAGGTCGATAGTTTGAAACTTCAGCACGTGACCCACCTTTGTGAAGTGGAACTACTTTCGCGATTTTCAATTTATGCGGAAACTTCCCCTGATGTAGAGACGCAGAGACTAGGCAGCTAAGCACTGGTGCAAGTATATTGCTCACTTTTTTCAGGGGAAGTATACTCATATCAGAAGTCGACTTAATCTTCAAACCCTTCACTATTTCAATTATTTCTGATGCGGACGAATCTTCTAGATTCATGCTCCGCTGGCATTTGCTATCTTGAGTTTCTGTTACGATAGTCCTGCCCTCAGAGCATACGAGACCATTTTCTCTCTTAAGAGTCTCAGCTATATTGCAGAAATAGTCATTGAAGCTATTCGCAATTTGCTGAGAATCTGTTATCTCGCTCCCATTATAGTTAATTTTGTTTATCTTAATTTTGCCTTTTTTCTTTCTGTTTAACAAGTTATTAACCATTTGCCATTGTTTTCTGCTGTCGCTAGAATATTTTGTAAAGTACGCGTTGTAATATTTGTTTTTGGCCTTATCCACGTGTTTATTCACAAATTTCTTCATTTTCTTGTACCTAATATCATTTTCAGTGGTCGGGTTTGTGACAAAATCTTCATAAAATTTATTTTTGCGATCACATGCGCACCGTAACCATTCTTGGATCCACGGCTTTGTGTTTTTACGGCGGCCTGGTTTACTCTTTTTTGCCTTAATTGGGAAATTTCGGTCGTATAGTTCACTATATTTTTTATCGAAAGCCTCAAATTTTTCATCTACAGAATCATAGTTATTAACCAAGTTCCAGTCTACCGCAGAAATGTCGTTCTCGAACTTTTGGATACTGTCATCGTTTATTACTCGAGAAGACATTTCTGTTGTATCTTCTTGAAGTTTACAACTGAGCCTATTCTGATCAACCATGATTGTGACAAAAGTTGCCAAGTGGTCAGAGATTGACTCAGAAATTACTCCCGATTTTGTAACAGCGTGGCAATTATTGACGAAAATATGGTCAATGATTGTCGCACTGTGATCTGTGACTCTAGTTGGTCTAGATATCACAGGAGCGAACCCATGCTCTGCTAGAGTATCCACATACTTAGTGACAGAGTCTATTCTCCCGTAATCTAGTAGGTCTATGTTAGTATCACCGGCCAGTATGATATTTTTGTTTCGATGTCTTGCTAAGTTACGGAGGAAAATTTTTAATTGTTCAAGGAAACCATTCAAATCCCCACTTGGAGAGCGATATATATTACAGATTAACGCGTTTTTGTGCCCTTTCAAGGTAAGTTCTGCAACCAAGAATTCTCCTATCTTAGGATTATCATGGCAACATAGAGCGCTCTTAACGTTTATGTCAGATAATTCACATAGTTTTTTGTTAACATATATAACTAATCCTCCACCACGATTTGACGCTCTGGCGGGAGTCTGAACATACGGTGGATAGAAACCGTCTAGTTCGAGCTCCTCTCCCTGAAAAGGCAAACATTCCGTGTTACAATTTGTTTCATTGAAGCAGAGAACGTCGTATTTTGTGTATTGATCTATATTCTCCCGAAATTCTTCAATGTTCCCATTAAGTGACCTAACGTTTAGCGAGAAAAGTTTTAATTCATACTCCTTCGTATTTTTTATTGCATTCGCGGTATAGTATTTGCAGTTATTTAGAAGACTAGACGTTGTTTCCCATGGATTCAAATCAGCATCAGTATCATCACGATCACCTATTTGATTTGATAGGTGGTCGCGATTAAAGGGGTTAAACCTAATAGTGTTACTGAGATTTATCATGTGAAGCTGTCTAATGGAGACATCATATGCTGGGAAAATTTTTCTCAAGCATTCTTTGCAGCCTGTTGAGCCAGCAGAACATCTTGTGTGGGATAGGTTGTCACAGTAGCAACATTTGGTCATTTGTCTTACATTCCCAATTTTTGTGCAAGTGTGACATTTTTCTCGTTTATTGGAGACTGGGATTTGTATAGGCCGTGATGGTAATAGAGGCATGACGGCGCCCACTGGAAGAATTTCTGAAATGCAGCTGTAGCAAGACCATTCTCCAGTAAGTTCAGTTATGTCGCTAGGTGTTAGGTGAGCACATTTTGGGTGATATGTCATATAACAGATACTACAAGTGATGCTTATCTTGTGTGAGACTAGGCGCTTTGTACAGGCCTTACAGCTATTTTTACTTCTTCGGATAACTACCATTTTTTGGCTGTAAATGATACTCTTGTTTAAATGTAGATATAGGTTTGCTACTGTATATTAATATATAATAAAGTACACGGAAAAACAGTTACTGAAAGTATCTACTCCAGATGAGTGAGCCAAGAAAATGGGGCCAGGGAAGAGTGAGAAAACGTGCGAGGTTTTGTGAACACTCTGTCCGGGTCCCTAACTTCAGCTCCTAACTAGAGAAATCAATTCAGTTAAGTGTTATTCTGTGGGAATAAGTTTAAAAAGTTAATTGAAGTATGTGAAATGTGAATGTGACTTGTATTCTGTATTTGTAACTTGTAAGTGTATGTACTTAGTGGTCTGATTACGTGATTCAAATTAGTAAAGATAAGATTTCGATTAGCCGTAAGCTGGTGCAGATAAGACATGGTTCGTATACTGTACGATTCTTAGTAGATTAATAATTATGTCCAAATTTTCGATGTAGTATGTTTGTATATTGTATTGCTGTTCTAAGGTCTGCCCAATGAAGAAACATACTCCCGTCTTAGCGGCCAGTGTTTTCGAATTAAGTAGCTGCGCCCCATAGTGGAGACACATAATATTTGAACGTGGTGGTAAAATATCATGCAGAAGTGCAGAGGCCTTTAGCTTGCACTAACAAAAAGAAAATTGCAGTTAACGTTGCCGTACTCAATGTTTATCGTATCAATAAAGTATATGATTTAGTTGAAACGTTTAATTTTAAGTCCCATTCCATTTCCAATCATTCTTGTTAGTAAAGTGAAAACCATTATGGTTCCAAATTATAGCTAGGATATTCGAAATTTGAGTATGTTTTCTATCGACTAGTCACTAGGGACAAAGTAGATTGTAGCTAATACTATAAAGCTAAAAGAACTGCACATATTATTACTCATGGGGTGAACATGGCTGAATTTAGGGATATAAATGAAATAAGATGCGCAGCTTTCAAACCCAAAAGTAAGAGTAATGAAGTGAAAGTGAAAGTGAAAGTGAAAGTAAATACCAGTGCCGGCGTGATAGTAGCAGAGTCCACTTTCCATGATAGCTTTACACGTGTGCTCTTTAAACTCATACCTCGCGTTTGCGTTCATGCACAATTCCTCGTCCTCCACCTTCACACACCTATTAAAGGAGATTTAGAGCTTTCTTGAGATTAGCAAAAGAGGTTAAACGAATTTTACAATGATTGAAACAGAATGATGGCAGGGCCCTAATGCAAAGCAACCTTAAATTTTAAGTTAATCAAGTTAAATTTACTTGTTCTGGTAGCAGCCCGAAATTCTGCACTTGTCACAGGAAGTAGTGGTGAGCATGTACCTCTGTACCAACGGTACCCATCCGTCAATCACCTTACCTCGTTTACTATACCGCCACACTCTCGAACACTGGGCTAACTGGGGAGTGTCACGTGATGAGGAGTTTAAGTCACGTGATCAATACAACATCGCATATAATTATATCTATACTACAGATGTGGAGTCACTCGACCTTGTTCTAGAGCTTCCTTTTCCTGATCCAATCATCGAAGATGAGCTTCTTATATTGTGCACTTGCCCTCTCTATGAAAATTTCTGTCACTGTTTGTCCCCACAAAGTAAAACATTACTCTTCTCTGATATTGTACAGATCTTCGCACACCCTACAACCATCGGAGACCTAGGAAGGTTCCTTACCGAAGCTCATGAACGCAGATTCCCTAAAGCATCCTCTAAACAAATTATTAAAAAAATAAATCTCATTCTGAAGATTTGCGGGGATTATTTCTTTGTTTATTATAGTGGTTGCAATTTTATTCTCATTCTCTTGTATATATACTTTTTGACTTTTGGGTAAATTTACTTTTTATATTGGGTCAGACATTATCATTTCAAATTGACTTTTGAATCGTTTAATCCGTTTAATCCGTTATTAATCCGTTATTAATCCGTTATTAATCCGTTATTAATCCGTTATTTATACGTGATCAATAGTTATCTGATACTTACTGATAGGAGGGAACAGGACACTTTGTGATATCTTAGGAAGCTGCAGGATTGATAAAGAAAATTTTTTTAAAGTTAAGGTGCACGTACCGTTGCCTCAGGTCTATCACCGTATCCATCTTTCAAGAGAGGGAGGAAGAAGACATATTTCTCTGCCCGTTCTATGTCTCTGTCAGTCCACAGCTCGTCGTGGAAGCTTTCAACCTTTGTCTGGCAAGCAGGACAGTACGACCACCCTTAGAAATGGGATAGTGAGAAATAGGCTCGTGAGACCGACTAAAAGCTAGGCAGAAAGGGTGATTATTCCTGTTTTAATTAATCTCACTCTTAGAGTTTATTGTTATGGCAAGGTGCTAGGTGCATCGCGCAATTCTCATGAACTCAACCCGTTACTCTTGAAGCTGTTAAAATAACCAATCACTAGTCTCTCGTGTTAAATCTAAAGGCATATATTAGGCGAATTATTCGCGCACTTTTTAATATTTTGGTACCTGTTAGTCATAGCGTGTACTATTTAGAAAACATTTTCCTTAATTACAATACCACGTGACCATCAACCAAATAAAGGTGCGTCAGACGACGAGCAGAGAGTAGGCACTAGGCACCCTTTAATCCCTATTCCAGCAGAGTACTGAGTTCCTCTGAACTATCATCAGCGCTTTCATTTGCACCGAGATCACACAAAACTCAGCTCTCTCCCATTACCTAGCTAACACGAGGAGCGCAAATCGGCGGCAAATCTCGCACCTCTATTTTTCATTGAGATCAATATTTCGTCTCTAATTCGGCCATCAGCTCCCTCAAGAATAATCAGGATTAAATAAATTCGATTTGTCACAAGGATGCTCAACATCAGGTGGTCGACAATAGTACCTGCGGTACAGAGAGAGGGACCGACAAAGCAGTCCACAAAAATGAGAGATCCTAAGAGAGGAGAAAGAGAGTGAGAATAGAAGCCCGTCAGCCAGCGGACCATGTTGATAACATTTATCAGTGGAGTGTCGGGTGCCTGCTCACAGGACCCACCTAGCAACCATTATTATACTCGGCCTATTTTCTCTACTTCAATTAGATTATTATCATTCCTGAACCTAAAACTTATTCCACTCCCTCGGTGACAAGAGTACTCGTGAAACCCAGTCCCACACAGAAACCTAAAAATTGTAATGGTAATTCATGAGACTATGCTACAGGAGTTAGGACGAAGGACAAGTGTTTTAACTGATTGTACAGACCGTAGCGCACAATGACATTAGGGACGAAGGACGGAGAACGTTATGACCTAGAAACCCCTTCATGGGATTGTTTTCTATTACTTATTATTATTATATAAAGAGGAAATTGAGTTGCGGTGCTACTGCAAAGAGGAATGATGCTCTTAATCTTGTAATTATATCGAGTGAAATATATTTTGAGGGGGCAGACAAGGGGCTCTCAAATTCTGTGCCAGGAGCAGTCATACGAAATTATTATCATAATTATGATCAATTGATATCGAGATAATTCATGGCGTCAAAAATGGTACCAAGAAAATACGGCTACGGAAATTTCATTTTCTGTCATTTTTAAGCTGCATTTAAGTTTAGCGGTATTCTTTCATGCATTTTTTTATTGGAATGATGTCAATCTTGGATTTAAATTCAGCTATGATAATCAAGAAAAGGTCAATTAAAAGTCAATTAATGCTTCATATATGTAAATTTTGGTGGGGAGATGGAGCATGTTTTTTGACACTTGACAGTGATTCTTGTGTTTGATTGGTCAATAAATAGTGGATGCTGATTGGCAAATTTCTGGCACGTGTCGAAAAATGGATCACCCACCCCGCACCCACCAGAATCCACATCTATTAATTGATGGTTTAAGTCACACTTACTCGCATATCTAACAGTTATCTTATCTCCAACTGCAATCTTCGTATCACCCTGAAAAAAATCAGTTATTAAAATAGCAGCAAACTTGAATAGTTTACAACCTCACGTTTGAATGTGTACATATTTCTAAATCCAACAGGTGCTTGATAATGGCAATAATTTCACATATCACCACCCCCCATTATATTGCCTACCGTTTTAACCATTAACTGACAACATATGGTTGATGGCCGTGTGAAAAATTAGGCCAGTATATAAAAACAACGTTTAACCACTGAATGAAGCCCGTTATTGTTGGAACGGTACAAATCGCCCCGTGATGATTGTGTAATGCAGGATAATCCGCTATTGTCCGCTAAAATAACCTCAAATTTGAGATGTCCTGACCAGGTGTTTGAACGCAGGCTCGAAATGGTGGTTATGTTTTGAAGTTATCAACACAATATAACATATCACTGCCAACCGTGCAACATATGGGGCTGGTAAATTTTAGAGATATTTACAGTTCTGTACATTAATTTAATGAGCTATCCACGCTGCCTATCTTAGCGATTCTTAACTCAACAAAACATAATCGATTAAAGCCAAATCTTAAAATGTGTGGATGTCAGAGGGCCAGATATCTCAGCTAAAGATTGAATACCATCACACATTGGTGAGCAAGATATGTAGAGATGTAGCCCAGTTTTAGATTTAGAGTAAGAGAATTAATACAGTTTTCAGCATAGCTAAATTAAAAGTTAAGTATTAATTACTGAAAAAACAAGATATGACTCACTCCGTTAGCGTAGATAGCCAAAACTCGGACCGTAAGTTCGAAGTGGGAGTTAGGGAAACCCCTTTTAAAGAAATCCGTGTGGGCCGGCAGGTTCCATATCCCCTTTGGAGTTTCGTGTGAGGATTTCTGTGTTACTCGTCCCTGTATCACTGAAACATGGCATCATGCCGGAGCTTGGAATTTGAATTACATAAATTATCACAGTGCTGGCTAGCATGACCGTTGCCATTATACTCACTATACTATTTACCCCCTATACTATTATACCCCATTTATTGTTTTCAGGCATTAAGACTCACCGAAAGTAGTTCAGCAGGCATATTTTAAGTTCAAAACATTCTAATTCAATAATGAGGTCTGATCGTCATCTTCTTACAGCGTTCGATGTCTGTGTGAAGGTAAAATGGTGATATCCTCTGGATCAGGCAGAGGTTGAGTGTTATCGGGATTATTTCTTTAGTAGTGGAACAGTAATACTAAGGTAATGGGACTACTGCGGACCCTCTACCGGCCAAACCTTGTTAACAAAGCCGCAGTCAAGGTTCGGTGAACGGTAGTTAAAAGCGCTTAAGGGACATAAGTCAAATTGGTAGAGCAACATCATGTAGTGGACATCTTCTCGAATAATTTTCAAGACTTGATGTCAACTTATTATCGGAGAAAAAGACGATTTATAAAGGAGCAACCTAACATTCTACCCACTCCTCATTTCTTAAGATGTCCACTACATGATGTTGCTCTACCAATTTGACTTATGTCCCTTAAGCGCTTTTAACTACCGTTCACCGAACCTTGACTGCGGCTTTGTTAACAAGGTTTGGCCGGTAGAGGGTCCGCAGTAGTCCCATTACCTTAGTATTACTGTTCCACTACTAAAGAAATAATCCCGATAACACTCAACCTCTGCCTGATCCAGAGGATATCACCATTTTACCTTCACACAGACATCGAACGCTGTAAGAAGATGACGATCAGACCTCATTATTGATGATCCCGCTCGTCGGAGAAGATAAAGGCCTTGCTCAGCAATGGGTAGGGTTTGCAGTTTAGATAGCCATGTGGCACGCTGCAACTAAATTATTCGAGATTCTTCTCGAATAATTTTCAAGACTTGATGTCAACTTATTATCGGAGAAAAAGACGATTTATAAAGGAGCAACCTAACATTCTACCCACTCCTCATTTCTTAAGATGTCCACTACATGATGTTGCTCTACCAATTTGACTTATGTCCCTTAAGCGCTTTTAACTACCGTTCACCGAACCTTGACTGCGGCTTTGTTAACAAGGTTTGGCCGGTAGAGGGTCCGCAGTAGTCCCATTACCTTAGTATTACTGTTCCACTACTAAAGAAATAATCCCGATAACACTCAACCTCTGCCTGATCCAGAGGATATCACCATTTTACCTTCACACAGACATCGAACGCTGTAAGAAGATGACGATCAGACCTCATTATTGATGATCCCGCTCGTCGGAGAAGATAAAGGCCTTGCTCAGCAATGGGTAGGGTTTGCAGTTTAGATAGCCATGTGGCACGCTGCAACTAAATTATTCGAGATTCTTCTCGAATAATTTTCAAGACTTGATGTCAACTTATTATCGGAGAAAAAGACGATTTATAAAGGAGCAACCTAACATTCTACCCACTCCTCATTTCTTAAGATGTCCACTACATGATGTTGCTCTACCAATTTGACTTATGTCCCTTAAGCGCTTTTAACTACCGTTCACCGAACCTTGACTGCGGCTTTGTTAACAAGGTTTGGCCGGTAGAGGGTCCGCAGTAGTCCCATTACCTTAGTATTACTGTTCCACTACTAAAAAAATTCTAATTCAATGTCAAAGATGACAGGAATAAGAAATAGTTATGTGGAGGTTTTTAAGAAATTTGCGCAAAATACGCCCCCAGCACTGTTATATTATACTTATACAAAATTCGGTAAAAAACCCAAAATCGCCTTATTCAGGTGCCTTAAAAACCATGTTAACATAGAGTTAGAGATCTGAGCTAGATGTTGACCAAATCGATTGTAAAAAAATGTTCAAGTTTCAGGAGTATCGGGAAGTGGGTTTTCTGGAACCCCTGTTTTACAACAGATTGTCGTGAAGTATATATGGCAGTCAATTATAGGCTACATTCAAGTGTCCGTAGATTCAAAAGCTTTCAAGATACAGTCATTTCGTACCACAGGTCTTGAAGATAATTGTTAAGACTTTAGTTTTCGTTATATCAACAAATAATTAAACGTCATAATCACCACTTGATGACGTCATTAAGTAAACCGTTTTTAAAACTTGATTTTTGACGAAGTGACAACTTTTCAAATTGATTTTACACCTTTAAGGTATAATTTTATTCAAAATGTTAGGGCATATAGAAGTTAGATAATTGTTCAAGCATTTTGAAAATCTACCGGAAAGTTTTCCTACCTTGCTCCTTCATAAAGATTTCGCTATTGAAGTTAGTACTTTTTAATAGAATAATTTTATAAAAATATAAAAGTTGTGATTTAGTATTTTCTGGTGTTGGGCCATCCCTTGGGTTGTGGAGCTCAGTTCTGCTTCCAGTAGGTCTATATTGTGCATTAGGCTAGTGTTAAAGTTGAAAATCAAAACGTTGCACGCGTGGGGACACGCCCAAATTGATATAAAAATTGCTAAAATCACTGAAAATTGCTATTTTCACCATTTTCTGTCAACTTTGTGATCTAAGTACTCTTTGAAATCTTTTGAAACTTTGCATGCTTATTAGACAATATATAAAACATCAACATGCAAAAATTTACGGTGGTTCAATATTGTATGCGCACGCAACGTCCGCTCAAAGTTTGCACGTGCGAAAGGTGAGAATTTTGCTCATTCGTGATTTCGAACAAATTTTGCTTTCCCACGACAGTTAAATGGCATTATATTTGAATTTAATGCCAACTTGAATGAGTATAAAGTGGCATATTCAGTCAGTGATCGACAGATATGCTTACCTAAACACAAGGAAATGTTTTCAAAGGTAAAATTTCGAAATCATTCAAATTACCTCCTTATCAATGAAGTTATGAGTTTACATTTCGACTCTGTAAAGAACCCTGAAATTATAATAAAAAAGAGATGATATTTGACCAAAACCCATAATCATGGGTAGAGTGGACCGCTGCCAGTGTCTCTCTTTCCCAAACACAAGGAAATGATATTAATTTGAATAACCGTCCGCAAATGCAAAATGATACCTAGAATGAAATCGGTCGCTCACTTTTCCCATTCATTTACAATTGTAATATATTAAGAATAACTAGTAACTACCCGAAGGCAGCTGTACTCGGGCAATAAAGATTCAATAAACATCAGCTAATTGGACAGTAACTACCACCCTTATCCCGAAATACTAGGTATCGACCCGAACGCAACCCAAAGAGATTTTTACAGCATGTGATTGATGTAATTAATCGAAACTTATTACAATTCGTAAGCCGCGAATGAATGGGAAAAGCGAGCAACCGACTTCATTCTCGGTATCATTTTGCATTTGCAGACGGTCAATCACATTGATATCATTTCCTTTTGTTTGGGAAAGAGAGACACTGACAGCGGTCCACTCTACCCATGATTATGGGTTTTGGTCAAATGAAAGTATTCCAAAAACGAGTAAACAAAAGTTTTTTATTCTGAAAAGCTATACAACATGGTTTAATAGAAACTTGGCTGCTGAAATGGAAACTTGGCCACATAAGATTGTCTTTTCAAAGAAATCCTTTCCACGATTTTTCCTTTTGATTCACAATAAAGCTTTACTGTTTTACCTGCTGATGCATCACAGAAGTCGTTCTGAGTGTGTTTTGTGTAGAAGTGAACATTTTCTGAACAGGGTAGACACATACAGTCAATACCTGAAAGGAAGCATCTTTAAAAAAAGAATTACCCGCGTTCAATGTGTCAATTGAATTTCATCTTGGGATTAAGCGTTTGATATCAATTTGATACACAGAATGTATTTCATATCATCAAATGCCTTCTGTGTATCTAATCTCTTATGAAGTTAAATCCATGAATATTCCAGAGTTTTAGAGTTGTTATAAAACTACAGCTTTACAGTTTTAAAAGGAGAGAACACGACAGAATACGAAAAGTTATTGAACTGAATCATTATGAATGTCTTGGTAGAGGTCGCATGTAACATAACATTGTCATCTCCTAATATTTGAAATAGATTAAAGAAATCATGAACAAGTCAAGTGGCACTGACACTAGAATTTGAATTGTCAATACAGTGTGCCACGTGTCAAAACAATTTTGCACCATGGTTTCCAGCATCAACGATTCAGCAACCAACAAATTGTTTACCTTCCTGAGTGGTAGTAGCTGGGTACTGAGTAGGTGTGTACGATAGTTTCTCTGAGAAGACAGTGACAGCCAGCATAGCCACCAAGATAGCATGTTTTAACACCGTCATCTATAGGGTAGACGAGATGTTTTAGTCACTCAGGACGTGGAGGATGGCCCTACTTCGTTGTAATACTAGTATTGAACAAGATCGAATATAATACTTTAAATATGAGTGAAAAAAAAGTAGAGTGAGGTAATACTGTTGAAACAGAACATGGACTTTGCAGCTGAACCCTGTATTTGAAACTTTTAATCTACCATATTCAATTTATAATTTGTTAAGGTTCACTAAACCCCAATTTAATACAACGAAATCAAATACTAAAGTAATCCAGCCGGATATGAATTGGAGAATAAAACTTTCAACTGAGTGTATTACTATTGAAGTAAACTTTTGATAGCCAGCTACAACAAGGAAGTTAAATGATATAATGAAATCTTACACGAAATAATCTAATTATCATACATGTAATGGTCGACAATGTCAGGAAAGTACCAATTAAAGATTAATCATAATGTAACGTGAAGGTCATGAGCCGTTATCATGGTCTTATCGGCAAAAAAACTCATGGTGGCAACACGGAAGAATTAGAAAGCTCAGGGTGGTTATACGGTTATAACACAGAAGCCTAACGATTACGAAACTAGCACTACTTTGATGCAATAAATTACGATTTCTGTTTCTTTCACGTCGACGATACCTCGGGTTTGACTGAACTCCGGAAAGGTAAGGACAGCGTTACGGATGTGAACGAGGGAGAGCAATTAGAGTAATCGAATAGGAGGGATGGAGATAACGTAGATATTTTCGTCTCCTCGGCCCTCCATAACAACTTTAAATAAATCAATTAACATCTGCGACGTACCGTACCATTGGTTCGCGTTCAGGGCCAATTCCTTAATTCTCGCAGACAGAATCATTCAAGAAATATCAAGAATCTTATGATAGCACCTGAATATCATTATACTTGTTTACACGAAGTTTCAAATTGGCAAACATTTGTGCAAACACTGATATCTAAGTAAGACGCTATACTAATTACTAAGGGGAGGATGGCTAAGAATGAATTATGTCCTTAATTTGTTGTCGCCAATTTGGTACAATATGATAATGTAATAGGTGTGAAAATTAAATTAAAGATAAGTAAGAGGTGAAATGCGAACATGGACCCGAAGTACGGTTTTTACTGCAATAAAGTTTGATATCGTGTTACCATCCTGCAAAGGATTCGATTGGTTCCTGGGAACTGTTAGGGTGCAACTTCCAGCACCACAATCACTTAACACAATTTAATATATTGCTGCAGGAATAAACCCAACTTGATAACGAGCCATAATACAAAATCACATACAATGTGTAAAACACGATGAAAACTCTGCAGTACTTTTATTTTTAGGGGGTAGGGTTGCAAAATGAATAATTGTTCTAAGTTGATTTATTTAACCTTCCAAAGGGATTTGATAGAGTTAGGTGTCAAAGAGGTTATCAAAAAACAAACAAACAGCTTGAAAAAGGAATCTTATTTACTTTCGCATGAGCTGGAGGGCTTCCAATATTCTAAAAATCCACCAGTCATCTACTTTTTAAATTCCGAGAACAAATTTGGTTTTCAAAAAATAAACAGTGTTTCGTACTTTAATCTGTGAATTTGTGAGTTGAGAACAACAATAATTGTGACAGACCGATCCCCTGATGTGATTTCTGTATTGAAATTGGCGGAACTGTTACCTGCACTTAAACCTCACTTGGCACCTTTTTTCTTACACAGGGCTATATTCTTATCTAAGTGATATTGACCACCTTGAATCTTGAATCTGCTAAGCTTCTTTCCATTTTACCATTTTACTGCGTTACGATAAATGCGGTGTCATCATTAACAACCAACATAATAAAGTATGTCTATGTGGCTTCCCGCCAAAGTTAGGGAGCATCAACGGATGCGGAAAGATCTTAATATATAACATACTTAGTAATCGGATAGCTGAGCTAGCTATACTAGCTGTCGTTATCAGGGCACTATCAAAGGAGCCCGACACAGGTCTGTAGAATCCCTCCGAAACACATTACGGTGGAATTATGGTTATGGTGGAATTCCACGGTAATATGTTTCGGTGAAACTCAATTTCACAAATCTTTGTCGGCCGTCGGGGCTCGGGCTTTAGGCTTCAAGAATACATTCATATGTGGACGTACGTGACCTACATGATTGCATAATCATAATGTAATAAGTGTAAGCGCGCTTAAATAAAATCGCAAAATTAAAACATGTGCATTGCGGCCGACGCGCGCGCGCGCGCGGATGAAAGTGACAACATAATCCGCGGTTGAAGTTTCGCGCGTTCCAACAACAGCTATTTCCAACTGTGACAGGTCGGTCATGATTGATTTGTTTTGTTCTTTCGGAACAGCTTTAACAGAGAGTAGAAACGCATTAAGAAACATATTGAAGATACGCATCATGCCAGGTAAGGCGCCACTATAAACCGAGGAATAACTTCACAAGAGAAACTGTAATTAAAACAGTCAATAGTTGACCAGTAAAAACAGACGTTATAACATCAACTATATTTTGAGTAGTTTTGGTAAGGATTAAGGATAGCTGTATCACGTACGCCGTTATGTTACAGTAGAAGCAGGATGCTTTGCGGATTCTATTATATGAACTAATGAGTCTGTTGTGACGGTGTGTGAAGATCCAGCATGAACTCAAACATCTCTAGAAGTCTGACTACTGTAGTCGAATATTAGTTTGCTTGGACATTTAACTAAATGTTATAAAAGTTGGCTCCAGCTCAAGGCTGTAAAATATTGAAACTAATGTCATTCCTATTACTTAATTGAAATCAGCTGTGAGATCAATGGTGCATGTTACATTCTCGCGGACGACAGTAATATCATTAGCAAAAGGAGGTACTTACTTTCACAGCTCTCATGTGGCCAATCCTGTACAGTAATGAGAGCTAACAGCCGAGTTTTCTTCTTTTCTTGATTCTGCCATCTATAATAACTGATACATGGGATAAATTGTAAATTCGTTGAGTTATAATTAAATCTTATATGGCATCTAAACTCATGAGTCTTAATTTTGGCAGCCGATCAGATCTTGAGACAATATTAAATAGACATTTTATAAGAACATTAAAATTGAAATTGGAAATTAAGATAAAGTCAAAAAATCACAATCCATACGAATATATTATCATTGTTATGTGGGTAAAATAAACATAAAAAACTAGAGGGTTTTAAAATAAGAATTACAAATATTCCGGACAAAATAAGCACACAGTATGAAGTCAACCTCTGTGAGACAGTGATTTAATAAGTATTTGTAGTGCACTGATTTAGAATGTGCGGTCTTCTTTAAAAGGATTCTTAGTAAGATCCGCCAATCGAAATGCATTTAAAAATCAATCCAATTTATAATAACTTATGAAGCTTTTCTAATTTCAATTTCATACATTTCCTGGGATTTAACTTTTGTTTTAACAATCGGTCTTGGAGTCATGGAGTGGTTACTGGTGTGCATTTTAAAATTTCCAGACATAAAGGTCCACACTGTTCACATTTAAGAATTTTGCTAATAAGCTCAGCTGACATCAGTCTAGACTCAGACTGGACTGTCTCTCTAATTGGTGGAGGGTAAACAGGCTCAAACGGGACTGTCTCTCTAATTGGTGGAGGGTAAACAGGCTCAGACGGGACTGTCTCTCTAATTGGTGGAGGGTAAACAGGATCAGACGGGACTGTCTCTCTAATTGGTGGAGGGTCAACAACCTTGCCATGAGGCTCACGAGTTTCAGGAACAGAAGTGGACTTTTCTTTAGTATGCGATTTATGAAGTAGTGTAATCGGAATGTTACAAGTATCACACTGAAATTTTTTATAGTCCAAAGGTTCAGCTTTAACAAGTACTCCGTACATATTCGTGACATCCTCCGTCTTTACAACTTTACCGTTTGAGACTTGGTTTCTTAAGTGTTCATAACCCAATTCTGACTGTTTATTCGATAAGCCGTCATCTTTCGGATTGTATCGGTCGGCATCGTCCTCACATTTACAAATGCATACTGGAAAGGGCCAAGTTTGGGATTCTGTCATCTCCTCTTTGATAATAACCTCCTCAAATTCTTCTGATGTTTGAACTGACATTCCTGACGGAAAATTTGCAGTGGCAGGTGAGGAAGTAGGGGCCGGAAGTGAAGGTTGGACAGTTACTTGGTCAGGTGCAGCTTGTTGGAGACGTTTTTTGAGAGGATGTTTGTTTTTCGGGGGTAAGGGTGATTTAACAAACTTAGATCTCTTTGAGGAGGTTGGTTGAATATCAGAGAGCGGTCTTTTTGTGTGTGACTGTTGCAATTGTGTACTATAGTGAACGGTAGGTTTAGGTGAACTTATTAGGACTGGTGGCGTTTCTGGAAGATCATTATATGATACATCGCTTAAGAGTAGAAGGTTTGTTGCTTTTGCTGGGTTGATGGAGAGATGGATTTCCTTGCTGGAAAGGCCTCCCTCTGATAGAATGCTCGCAGTGTTCTTTCGGATGGATGTGTTGGTTATCTTTCTTCCATCAACCGACAAACCGCTGGCAGTCACCATGTCATTCACGATTTTGGACAGGGTATTCTGTCCCATTCTTGTGGAAATGTACCATGGTTCACCATCGAATTCGCGCCGATAATCTTTATAAGCTTTGGTATTGCAGCTCAGGAATAACGGTGACTCCGGTGTTTTCATAGCTTCAGGACGTTTTAAGCTATACAGCGTCAGCAGCGTCACCGGACACTTGAACTTCTCTTTTATTCCGCAGAGGGAGCCGCTATTGTGATTTTGGTCTTGCGGATTTTGTCCTTGCCTATTTTTGGCCTGAACATCCCGAAGGTTCACAAAGGTGTGACCATTACTGTTGGTGATGTAAAGGTCCCCATACTTCAGCTTATGTAGCTCCTTCATTCCTCTACGCCCCATCCACATGACATAAATCACAAGGGCGTTAATGAGAGCCCGTGGGTGGTGAGCGCCTGCACACTTTGATGAAAAGAGAACGTTAATCTCTTCAACTGTGAGCCCATTATATGTCTTCAGCCCTTGTCCTCCCCCCTCAGACCGGAGTTTCTTAAAAACACATTTCAGCTGGTCTGTAACCTGGCTGAATATCTGTTTGCTGAAATCCATGCGGGTTGGTTTTAAATGACGTTTTAAGCTATACCAGAAGGTTTGTAAAGATACTGGCTCGTACGCCGTACCTTTTTCAGTACGAGCCCCGATTGCGAAATTCTTCATAGTTGTAACAAGTTCTTCCTCGGATAGCTCAATTACAGGTTTCTCCCAAAACGAAGGATCTTCTCCACTATTGCGAAGATGTGCAGCTTTTGCTGCCATAAATGAGGTTATAGTTCTTATGTCACCTTCAGTCTTTTTTCTCGTTGATGCTGATAACAGATTTTGAGCAAAATTTTCTGTCTCTTCTAATGAAGGAATATAAAATCTTAGGCCTGACATAATAGTGCTATTTTTATCCTGTAGTTATTTGAGTTAAATAATCATAATGCCAACAATTTAAATCGGATATAAGGATATGGAATAATCAGAAAATGTATGGGCACACGCCTACATTCTTACACGCACTCCCGGAACATGATTACCTTATCAACTTCTTTTAACTGATGTTATCGTAAAGTCTTATCGCATTGTACAGCGGATATTAGTACCTTGGCCTTAGTCGTTAATACATATTATGGAGGGGGAGGGGAATTTATGGGTGTTCAAAATATGGACTGTTATAAATATGGTTCTTTGGCCCAAAAAGAACCAAATTTGACCCCCAATATTAAATTGAATCTTAACTGCGACTTTCCGTGAAAAAATCTCAAATCGAAAATATTGATCAAATTTTTTTCGCAATTATAACCACATTGCCGCTTTCACACCAAATTTAATATTTTTTATTAGATATCCGATCCCTATCAGGTGTCAAAGTTCTCAATTAAATCATTGTTTATCACAAAATGCGATCGAAAATAGAAATAAAATACATTTGTTCTGCTACACATGGAGAACATGGGGTTGACTGCTATCGAAATCTGGTGATTAAAATTCAGTTTTCAGTTGCATCGTGTAAATATTAACAAGGCCGAGGCCGAGGAAAAATCGCTATTGCTCGGTAAAACCGAGGCCGAGGTCGAGGACTCGGTCGACCCTTAAAATTTTCAAATTTCGCCGAGGCCGAGGAATAGCAACTTAATTTTTAACCGAGGTTGAGGCAAACCGAGGAATTGTCCTCCTGACCGAGGCCGAGGAAAAATCGCTATTGCTCGGTAAAACCGATGCCGAGGTCGAGGACTCGGTCGGCCCTTAAAATTTTCAAAATTTCGCCGAGGCCGAGGAACAGCAACTTAATTTTTAACCGAGGCCGAGGCAAACCGAGGAATTGTCCTCCTGACCGAGGCCGAGGAAAAATCGCTATTCCTCGGTAAAACCGATGCCGAGGTCGAGGACTCGGTCGACCCTTGGGTAAAAATATGGACTGTTATAAATATGGTTCTTTGGCCCGAAAAGGACCAAATTAGACCCCCCATAATATTACCAACAAAGGTAGTAAGTCTAGGGAAATTCGCAATCCTGAAAAGCACCAGACAGTGTTCCTGTCACCCGATCGCACAGAAGAACAGAGAGCCGAACATCGCAAACTTTTGCTTGAGCTCAAGAAGAAAGCTGCTGCAGAGCCCAACCAACGGCATTAAATAAAAGGAGGTCTAATACATAGTGTGGACATTGATGTAAAGAAAGACTAGTACATGATGAGAATGGTGCAGTATTTGTTTTGTTGAGATTTGAGTGGAGGAAAATTTTGAGCGAGCAACTAATTGTACAGACAGTAAATCATTCTCAAGCACCTACTCAAAACTCAGTAGATTTTGAAACGTCATGATCTTTGTTTAGAATGTGGATGGCATGGGCATCTTATTTTATAAGTCTCTATTTTAGATCTTGAGATGCTATAGATCGGATATCATAAAATGTGTAATAATTATCCAGAAAATTGAGCTTTAAATCAGTTAAACCAAATAAATTGCTTGATAATAAGTCATTTCATAATAACATAAAATGATTAAACATGTATATTAGAGATTAAGATAAAGTCGACTCGCTACATCATGCTGTATAGAATTCGAAAAATCACAATTCATCAGAATATATTATCATTGTTATGTGGGTTATGTTAAAAATAAACATAATAAACCAGAGGGTTTTAAAATAAGCACTAAAAATATTCCAGACAAAATAAGCACACAGTATGAAGTCAACATCGGTGAGACAGTGATTTAATACGTATTTGTAGTGCACTGATTTAGAATGTGCGGTCTTCTTTAAAATGATTCTTAGTAAGATCTGCCAATCGAGATGCATTTAAAAATCAATCCAATTTATAATAACTTATGAATTTCCTGGGATTTAACTTTAGTTATAATTATTTATTCACTTCTGATTTTGTGAGGACGCATTTGCCTAGTCTGTACATGTCTTAACAATTGGTCCTTAGACTTAGGATTATAGACACAATATTCACAACGATACGGCTTTGGTCTGCTATGAGTCAACAAATGACGATTGAGAGAAGACGATTGAGAGCATTTATAATAACAAATATTACAAGAATAAGGGTTCTCTCCGGTGTGTATCCGTTTGTGTTTAGAGAGATCCAATCTCCGACAGGTCGAATAGTTGCACATGTCACAGCACAATTCAGAAGGCTTCTCTCCATTATGTAACCTCTTGTGATCTTTTAGATTCTCTGCTCGGTTAGTTTTAAAATCACACATCTAAAACGCTTTTCTTTATTATGACTCAATATATGCCTTTTTAAAGTTCCGACCGTTCTGGCACGATAATCACAAACAGTACAGCGATGAGGTTTCTCTCCTGTGTGTGTTAGTTTGTGGATATTAAGATCCCCACTTCGGGCAGTTAAATAGCTGCAAATATCACATTTGTATGGTTTTTCTCCGGTATGAGTTCGTTTGTGAATAACCAGACTACTTTTACATGCAGCTGAATAGCTACACATATCGCACTTGTAAGGTCCTTCTCTGGTTCGGTTCTTCGCGTGAGTTTGTTTGTGACTGGTCAGATTGCCTTTTCTAGAAGATGTGTAGCTGCAAATATCACATTTATAAGGTCGTTCACCCGTGTGCTTCCTGATGTGTATTTTCAAATTGCCAGGCGCATCAGTCTTGTAGTCACACAGTGTACATTTGTGAGGTTTTTTAACAAGCTTAGCTGACTTCAGTCCAGGCTCAGACGGGACTGTCTCTCTAATTGGTGGAGGGTCAAAAACCTTGCCATGAGGCTCAGGAGTTGCAGGAACAGAAGTGGACTTTTCTTCAGCAGGCGATTTGTGAAATGGTGTGATCGGAAGGTTACAACTATCACACTGTAATTTCTTATAGTCTTATAGTCCAAAGGTTCAGCTTTAACAAGTACTCCGTACATATTCGTGACATCCTCCGTCTTTACAACTTTACCGTTTGAGACTTGGTTTCTTAAGTGTTCATAACCCAATTCTGACTGTTTATTCGATAAGCCGTCATCTTTCGGATTGTATTTTTCGGCATCGTCCTCATATTTGCAAATGCATACTGAAGGGGGCCAAGTGTCAAACCGTTGGGATTCTGTCATCACCTCTTTGATATGAACCTCTTCAAATTCTTTTGATTTATGAACGGGCATTCCTGACGGAAAGTTTTATAAGATTGTTGTTTTTGTACTTAGTTAACACAATTTAAAAAATACAAATAACAGGAGTGCGTTATTTTTATTTGTAAGGGGTCGTTCAGATATTACGTAATCAGCCGAGGGGGGGGGGGGGAGTTCCCAAATGCTTACGGTTGATTACGGGGGGGGGGGGGGGGGGTTGTTGATTACGTAATCAAAATTATCTTTTTTACCCTCTAGAATAATAACAATTGGACAATATTTTAATTCAAATTCCACTCAATTTCATTCTGATAGTGATACAATTTAGAAATTGATCGAATATCCGACTATAGTAAGTAGTTTCAAAGGTGCTTAGCCGGATTCTTAGTGAGATCCGCCGATCAAAATGCATTTTAAAATCAATCCAATTAATAACTTATAAATTTCCTGGGATTTAACTTTTGTAATAATTATTCACTTCTGATTTTGTGAGGGCGTATATGCCTAGTCTGTATATGTTTTAACAATTGCTCCTTAGACTTAGGATTATAGACACAATATTCACAACGATACGGCTTGGGTCTGCTATGAGTCAACAAATGACGATTGAGAGAAGACGATTGAGAGCATTTATAATAACAAATATTACAAGAATAAGGGTTCTCTCCGGTGTGTATCCGTTTGTGTTTAGAGAGATCCAATCTCCGACAGGTCGAATAGTTGCACATGTCACAGCACAATTCAGAAGGCTTCTTTCCATTATGTAACCTCTTGTGATCTTTTAGATTCTCTGCTCGGTTAGTTTTAAAATCACACTCGTCACATCTAAAACGCTTTTCTTTATTATGACTCAATATATGCCTTTTTAAAGTTCCGACCGTTCTGGCTTTATAATCACAAACAGTACAGCGATGAGGTTTCTCTCCTGTGTGTGTTAGTTTGTGGATATTAAGATCCCCACTTCGGGCAGTTAAATAGCTGCAAATATCACATTTGTATGGTTTTTCTCCGGTATGAGTTCGTTTGTGAATAACCAGACTACTTTTACATGCAGCTGAATAGCTACACATATCGCACTTGTAAGGTCCTTCTCTGGTTCGGTTCTTCGCGTGAGTTTGTTTGTGACTGGTCAGATTGCCTTTTCTAGAAGATGTGTAGCTGCAAATATCACATTTATAAGGTCGTTCACCCGTGTGCTTCCTGATGTGTATTTTCAAATTGCCAGGCGCATCAGTCTTGTAGTCACACAGTGTACATTTGTGAGGTTTTTTAACAAGCTTAGCTGACTTCAGTCCAGGCTCAGACGGGACTGTCTCTCTAATTGGTGGAGGGTCAACAGGCTCAGACGGGACTGTCTCTCTTATTGGTGGAGGGTCAACAACCTTGCCATGAGGCTCAGGAGTTGCAGGAACAGAAGTGGACTTTTCTTCAGCAGGCGATTTGTGAAATGGTGTGATCGGAAGGTTACAACTATCACACTGGAATTTCGTATAGTCCAAAGGTTCAGCTTTAACAAGTACTCCGTACATATTCGTGACATCCTCCGTCTTTACAACTTTACCGTTTGAGACTTGGTTTCTTAAGTGTTCATAACCCAATTCTGACTGTTTATTCGATAAGCCGTCATCTTTCGGATTGTATTTTTCGGCATCGTCCTCACATTTGCAAATGCATACGGAAGAGGGCCAAGTGTCAAACTGTTGGGATTCTGTCATCTCCTCTTTGATATGAACCTCTTCAAATTCTTCTGATTTATGAACGGACATTCCTGACGGAAAGTTGTATAAGATTGTTGTTTTTGTACTTAGTTAACACAATTTAAAAAATACAAATAACAGGAGTGCGTTATTTTTATTTGTAAGGGGTCGTTCACATATTACGTAATCAGCCGAGGGGGGGGGGGATTCTCCAAATGCTTACGGTTGATAACGGGGGGGGGGGGGGGGGGGGGTTGGTCGTTGATAACGTAATCAAAATTCTCTTTTTTACCCTCTAGAATAATAACAATTGGACAATATGAAAGGTGCTTGGCCGGTTATCAGAACAATGATATCGGCTCATCATGATCAGGGTAGCATGAAACGTAAAGAAAAATTATTTCCAGGGAAAAATGTCAAAGGGGGGGGGGGGGGGGGGGGGGGGAGCATGATAACGTAATGTTGCTGTCAGGGGGGGGGGGTTGGGTCTTGATTACGGTTGATTACGGTTGATTACGGAGAGGGTAAAAATTGCTAAAATAATGATTACGTAACATTTGAACGACCCCTAACGACTGAAACCTCAAAGATGATTGTACAATGCAACTGTAAAAATAAGGTCGGACAAGAAAATAACCACTTAGTCTTACAATAATCAAGGGGACTCGAATAAGACAGAACACACAGAAGTTGTAAAGCTAGGGTCGGGTTATATTACATTAGACTTAGAGGAAGTCACGTGGTATAGTCAGAACACACAGAAGTTGTAAAGCTAGGGTCGGGTTATATTACATTAGACTTAGAGGAAGTCACGTGGTCTAGTCACGTGGTCTAGTCACGTGGTCTAGTCACGTGGTCTAGTCACGTGGTCTAGTCACGTGGTCTAGTCACGTGGTCTAGTCACGTGGTCTAGTCACGTGGTCTAGTCACGTGGTCTAGTCACGTGGTCTAGTCACGTGGTCTAGTCACGTGGTCTAGTCACGTGGTCTAGTCACGTGGTCTAGTCACGTGGTCTAGTCACGTGGTCTAGTCACGTGGTCTAGTCACGTGGTCTAGTCACGTGGTCTAGTCACGTGGTCTAGTCACGTGGTCTAGTCACGTGGTCTAGTCACGTGGTCTAGTCACGTGGTCTAGTCACGTGGTCTAGTCACGTGGTCTAGTCACGTGGTCTAGTCACGTGGTCTAGTCACGTGGTCTAGTCACGTGGTCTAGTTATCCTCCCTCCCTCACTAAGGAAATATCTGATAGCACAGTAACATGATGACAGGTCAAATTAATGAGAACGAACAACTTTTCCTTTGGTGATTCTGCCATATATATGACTGAACTCAGAAGCACGGGAGAAATGGTAATTTCGTTAAGTTGAAATTCAATCAATCAATTATAGAATATGGATGGCATCTAAACTCATAAATCTCAATTTTGGCAGCCAATCGGATCTTGAGACGTTATAGAATGGATGTCATAAAATGTATAATAATTATCCAGAAACGTGAGCTTTTAATCAATCAAACCAAATAAATTGCTTGATAAAAATTGTATGAGTGTTATTTAAAGTACTATTACATTTTTCAATAATTGATGAATGGGCATTTCATAATATAAAATCGAGATGTAAGATTAAAAATAGAGTCAAGTTGTTACATATATCCTAAATAGAAGAAAATTTCGGTCGCTAAAAATATATTTATAACTAAACATTTGAAATGAAAAGTATAATTGAAATTTTAAAGACGAAGACACACTGCAACAAATTTCTATTTGACATGCCAATAAAAATCTTCATTCCTCAACAAAATTTCATTTAATTGTAATACGTAGTATCAACTAACTACGAATGAATGCGCCATCTTCGCTGCAAATTACATGAACTACTAGATTGATAAGAACAAAAATAACTCAATTTATTTAACAGTTAACCCCTCTTAACAATTATTCTTAAATTATACTTATATTTAGATACATACTGGGTTATAAAATATGCAACATTATCTTATGTGCTATAAAATCTATAAAGATGCAAAATGATATTAACGGTTGCTGTAACTGTTGACGAATGTCTAACAATCAAGCGGACAATCAATGTTGCTAAGTTGAAACTTGAATCTGTAAAATTGTTTTGAACTTTCTCTGGATTTATAGAAGCGTGGAGGCTGCTGCTGTTGGACGTGGCCTATTATCCTCCCATTCAATCCTAAACTGAACAGGGCTTCCTTTCTTCAGACTGCGGCGTGATGTTTTATTCATGAAACTTTTACTATGAATAAAAACACTCTCTACTTCATCGTCGATGATGATGTCACCAAATCCAAAACAATCGACGATACTCCATCTGGATATAATAGTATCAAATCTTGTCATATCATTAATGTACTTGGATGCCATTTTTCTGCGCTGTCCTAGATCCACAGGGTTATCGTTTCTCTTTGGCAGCAGCTGTATTCCTCTCCTCATACTTGTAGCCTTCAATGCAGCTATCTTGGCAATCATTGACTGCCGTATTGTCTCTGCTTTTGCCCATTGCTCTTCATATGCTACCAAAAGATTGAGGCATTCACCTTCTTTCCTGGCAATTCGTGTATCAGAATGTTCCTTAAGAACGATGTCAACATCTGGGATCAAAGAACGAACAAGACTCTGGCTGGAGCCAAAAAACCTTACAGTAACCAAATTCACCAACCAACCGCTAAATTTACTGCATAAATTAGAATTGAAAAACATCTGTTGAAGATCCCCATTTCGGCTGAACCCTGTGAAATATACCCGGCTGAAACAGTGCATTCTTCCCATTATTATTGGGTTGTACGGTGTCATTGGACGAGCAGAATCAAAATACAGTAGTTCAGTATTTTCTTCCGAACTCAGGTTAATGACAAACTGCTCATTAAATGGATATCCCACCTTGTAGCTATTCTGTAAATCACGTTTTCGCCATCCATACAGGGTATTATCAAAGAATTGGAAGCAAGGATGTGAAAGTTGACCGTATTCTTCCAGCGACAATTTGATTTCTCTGATAAACGATAACTTTTCGTCCAATTTTCGGAGTTGAATTTCATTCTTGCGGTAGAATATACAGGTACTCTTCCCCGAATTGCAGTTGAATCTGACTTTCCATGGATTATTTGCATCCCAATGTACCTTTATCAGTGGTTTGAGATCGTCTTCTAAATCGTGTAGGATCAGCATAGGTGAAGGTCTCTCACCGATCCCAATAGCAAAGACGAATTTCTTGTAAAGAGCAATGAGCATACAATCAGAAAGTATGTGTTTGATGGTCGGGGACATCGTCTCATCCCCATGTAAGCAAGGCTGTAAGTCTACTGATAGTACAAAGGTGAATGTTGATGCTGATTTGCAGTCGTTGGATGATTTCGATATCACTGAAAGAACGATGGTTATATGAGAGCCATTTTTTGTCAGCCCAACGTTTTCAATTGAAGTTATTTCTTCCGTGACCAGGCCCTTTTCTTTGCTAAATGCGGTCAGCCCATCTAGATTGTACTTAAACAGTTCATTCTTTGGCATAATTTCGAAGTCCCAAACCCACAAAAACTTACTCCGTTCCGTGGTATTATTTACCTCAGAGGTAACTACCGCTAGGATACTTCCAGAGCAATGAATAGTTGGCTTATCGTTAGAGCGTATTAATTTAATAGCATTCTCTGACGATTTCATCTTGATTATTTCTTTCGGTTCCATCAATGCTAAAACACTCTTCTTAGCATATACTAAGCGATAAATGTCGCCTTTTTGATCCAGCCAAGCAAAGTATGGAGAGTCATACTCAAACTCATCGTTGGCACAAATGAACCTCGTAGTCTGAATTATAAAACACGAAATTTTTTGGCCTTCAAAATTTGGAGCACCCATTAATTCGCTGAAATCACCACAATACTCTTTACTTAGCATTATACTGATACTGCCGGAGTTGGAAGAGGCCTCTATGTCGTTGTGGACATTGAGGAATCCTTCGAGTCGCATCATCATAGAATTGAATAGTTGCACTGTTTTGGTTATGGAAACTGACAAATATCTGACTTGTGCAAAATCCTGAGAGGAATAAAGCAACATCCCAAACATTTTAACGAGCTCTGAGCAAAGAAATATACATTCCTGAAGTAGACTTTTCTCAAAGATTTGCAATCTATCAGTTTTAGAGACAGTCCCAATTTTAATAAAGTCGTTTACTATCAATTTTTCAATCAAATAGAACGGTGTAGTCTTGGGTTTCGGAGTTAGATAGGATATGATATTTTCCCACACGTGAAAAGGTAGTGTATACGGAATAAGCTTTTGCAGGAATGCCATAGCAGTTATGTTACACCAAGTGTACCAGTAACCGGGTAGATCTAGTATGTAGTCCGACCAAAGATGATCTGAAAACATTTTCACAGATTCAATGTGTATCCGCTTCATTAAACGTGTTGTTTCACAAACGTCAGATTCACCATCGCTCGACAAGTAATCATCAGAATCCTCTACGGAATCATCAGAATTATACTCAACATTGTTTCTTCTTCTGCGCCCTCTTTCTTCTTCAGAATCCTCTTCAGAATACCCAACAGTGTTTCTTCTTCTGCGCCCGGTGTCTACCAATCTTTGAAGACACCAACAACTTTCCCATAACTTTTTAAATGTGGGATTTTTTAACGATTGAATGATGTCATAGTTGCTGCTTCGATCAAGACAAGTTATTATTGGTTCAGCATTCTGAATTCCAAAACTTTTAACTCGACCGATGATTGCCTCAAGATCAAGTCGGGAGTTTTGCTTGTCTGAGAAGCTTGAGAATGAATCCACGATATTATCAAATTCGTTCTCCGAGTCAGTACGCACGCGCATCAGTAACCTAGCGAATTTATTAAAATTAATAAAATTAAATTCTAGCATAATGTAATTGAAACTATGGTATGATTGAATATTACATATCCAATATTATGAGTCAATTATATGGGGCAGTTTTATGAGTCATTCGGTTGCTATTTAATAATTATGAAGACAAAGATAAATTCATACCAGAAATTGCTATCTGGGTAATTTCTGCTCTTTTGAATGGGTACTGGGTAGAATGTAGATCATGTTTTTTATCACAAACGACCGTTGGAATTACACTTTACTACTTTACATAGCTGCAACTCACAATGGTTAAAATAAATCTGTACAATTGAAATGTAACCAGCAATGGGGTGAAAAGTAACTACAAATGAACATAGGAAACAAATATACTGAAACATCAATTTACCGCAAACCCCGATTTACCGCGGTCATTTCCTTTCCACCAAATAGGGTTTAACATACATAATGTAAACAGTCAAAACCCCCTATTTATCATGAACCCCGATTTACTGCGACGTTTCCTTTTCTCCAAAACTCCGCGGTAAATCGGGGTATTTCTGTACGTACAAGCTAAAGAAATACGTTTAAGATATCTACATCCAATATTCATACAGGATTAAAATGTAATCTGAACTAGGATATAGGAAAGTTAACCAAATCTACTTCTTTATCAAAACACAAAATAGTAGCGTTCCACACACTATTTGACTATTCGCCATGTCGAATACATTTACTTCACATTTCAAGTCACTTAGATACATTAAATTGTACGGTTTCTTTTGTTAAGTTTAGATGAGTGTGGTTTATAATAAAAGATGTTGTAATGTCTTTGCCTCATGATTTAACAATACTTCTGTTTACATTTACACACTTGCTCACATCACTCACAGTCAACCGCTCTGGGCTCTTACTAATTCGCTTGCCCAAAAATGTCACGTGACTTTGGTTTTTATGGTTTTGCAGCCGTACAAAACGGTTTTACATAAACCCTAACCCCAACCCTAACCATAACCCCGAAGCTAACCATAACCCTTACCACAACCCTAACCCTATCCCGAGCCCTAAACAATCGAGGGAGGGGGGGTGATTCGGAATCAGCGTCCAAAAATACACCGATTGAGATCAATTTCATATCCAAAGGGCCTTTTCACAAGAATTTTCTTAAAATTTGGGCGAGCGATTTAGTAGGAGCGGCCGCTCTGACATGGTTAACCACCCTCCTTATGTTTTTGGTTAATCATATGAGCGCCGAGGGCCCGAGCGGGATATAAATACCTCATTTCATTTCGTTTGAATTGTATTTAATCCAATATCCTTCACTTTGCGACTCAGATAGCACTGTGTTAATCCATCATTTGATTAGTACTTCAACTGCCTCAACTGTTGATCTATATATACTTACTATAGTTGTTAAAACTTAAAACTGGGTTACTCTGAATGAGATGCGCACAGGTCTCCTCGTTTCATGTCAGGACATTAATTATTGTTCCATCACGAATTTTTAACTTATGTCTTAATTTGACTAACAATTGTAAAATTTTGTCAGGTTGCTATAGCCTATTATCAAATGCAAATCATACACATTTATTTCATATAAAATGAACGCTAGTTATACGATACTCATAGAGTTTTATTAGTACTGTGGTATTAAGAGCTAGAGTGACCAAAACACGAAGATTGCCAAGACAGTTAACTTTAAACTTATGAACAAACTAACACATACCCCTCAAAACAGAGATACATAGTTCGGTGAGGCCGCAGTTTACAGTCAAAACATAAGAGTAATTCGGTGTTAAACTAGTCTACTGCCCTTGCTAATGTTTAAATAGTTCAAATAGTAAATAAGTAAGGAATTTATGTCCAAAGTATAGTTCGTGTTGTTCCAATGTAGAGCAACGCATGATATCGAGTACTCTATTTCATAATTAGCAAAGAGATATGTTATTTTTCTGAAGGAAGTTAAATTATCATCCAGTTTCCTGAGCAGAATCTCATATTAAATGCACTTGTATCTTTCAGCTTTCTCTGGATTACAGAACATTAGAACATTGAAATGTCGGTCTAACTTTGAACCATATTTCTATGACATTCTTGATCGACTTTATTTTGACTGTATTTCTTCGACACAAGGACACCCCTATTAGTACGAAAAACGGAACAAACATTTTAACAGCTAGGAAGTATCAAGTAAACAAAAATAGTACAGAAGCGTTCACAATGGTGCTCCACAACAGCAATCCCTAATAACTTCTCCAACTGTTTAGTCCTGATCACAGCTGGTTGGTCTGATGCGAGAGTTAAACTAATAAGTAATAAAGTAATAAATAACCCGCAGATCTTATCCAATAGTGAGGTTAAAACCAATACGATGCAATCAGTAAAGTTTAAGAAAGAAATGATATAGCCTTACGATGGAATGTAATGTGAAACATGCTTGCTAATAGTGTAACATACTTGCTAATAGTGTGAAATGAGGCAAGAACAATTATAGTTCCTGCAGACCCTACTGTCAATAAGCCGATACGAAGTTATGTATTCTCGAGATAGTACAACGATAAATTAACAAATTGTGGCGAAATATCGTGCAAAAATTCGCTTCTAATATATACCCGGTTGTCAGTATGTTTATCATTTCCCTAGAGAATTTGAAATCGATTAATTTGCCTTCCTTAGAAACGGGTGCGACGGGGGGGATCAGGTACCAAGTGCCGGACATCACGTTGGTGGGTGGGTCATTTTTGGGCCATTTTTTCTTCTAAAAACACAGTTAGTACATGGTACTAACTGGTGGGTCTACTGCCCATTTTCCAGAAAAACAGTTAGTACATGGTACTAAAGGGGGTGTCTAACCCCAAAAAAAACCCTTTTACCTCAAATTTCAATTTTGGGAATGGGTTTTGAGGTTTTTAAAGGTTTTTTTTGGGGTTTTTAATATTTTTAAAATTTTGTAAAGTTTCCTTTAAAGTTTAAATGAGCTCTTTTTAGAAAAAAGCAATTTCTGGGTGGGTATCTTATTTTATATACCAAAAAACAGATTTTTCGACAGTTAGTACCGCAAAAGGCGGCAAATGGGGTGGGTGTCTTACGTATTATCCAAAAAAACAGTTAGTACCGCAAAGGGGGTGGGTGTGTCTAGTGAAAAATATCCAAAACTACACTTAGTCGACGTCCCCCCCCCCCCCCGGTGCGATGTCAGAATGTGTAACTTGATAACTAACTGGAAAATTAACATTAATATTTTATCTGAGTATTATTGTGACTGTAGAAATTGAACCTCTATCACAATTCATGCCACGGGATAAATTTTGGACCGTGAAGACAGTTTCAGGGACTTTACATTAAAGCAGCGAAGAAAGTTATACACAATGTATTATCTGATAAAAGTTAAAATAGAACAAAATATCAAAAGTAATATTATATCATTGACGGAACAAACACTTGAACGCAGTGTACTTCAAAAACATATCAACACAATTTTCTTCTCAAATTACCGAAACTGAAAACTACTAATATAATACTAATCATTAAGTTGCTAAATTACGTCAAGTCATAATTTTACAAGAATTGATTTTGATCTTTTATCATCAATCTGATCATAATAATAGCTTGCCTCATTCAAAGTTTAAAAACAGATATATTATATCTGAATACAAAACGTCATGATCTTTGAATGAGTACAAACAAATTCGTAATAAGTTCTGAGTTAAATTAATAATTAAATCGGCATGCAACAAACATGACGTTCTTTTTACCACGTAACTATGTATCAAATGTTTTTGTATAACTAATGCAACTTTCGAACAAATTAGTCTGACCTGAACATTGTTACTAAGTAAAAAGAACGACCGAGCATCAACTTTGAACTGTAACAATTAAGTATTTTGAATATTAATTAAACCGTAAAGGATAAATCTAATCAGCCTGCAAACTGCTTAAGGGAATCTGATTAGATGTTTTAGTGGGGTCACGCAAGTGCAACAAAATCAGATCCCCAATTTGCAGAAGCAATAAATATATTGATAACTTATAAACCCTAAACTTAAAAAATAGCGATATATCGTAAAAATTAAATCACAACTACTTGTGCAATGTGCATAATGTGTTTATTTTGAAACTTTGAAGAGAGCTGCATTGATTAAAATTTGAAGGTGCCCTAACTTTCCGCAATCAAAATACACTTTCTGTGATCTCGAAGGTCGACTTCTAATCGATCAGAATCCGATATAAATTTAAGAAAAGAAATTTCTAAGTTTCTTGCTTACCGTGCAACTACCATTACTGCTGCTTTTTCATCACAATATAAAGTATAAACACAAAGAAATCATTCAGAAATCCTTCATCCTATTTCATTGAATCCTTAAAGACATTTTATGTAATGTTCCGACGTATCTCAAATATCTGCAAAAACTTTTCGTGAAATTTTCGCTAAACCACGCTCTCGTGACTAGTACTGATAACATAATATAACTACTGATAGCACATCATCTGACTACCCTGCACCCCCGTGTGAAACACGACTCCAAACCTTACGTCACCTCGTCAGGAGCACTACAAGTGTTATAGCCCTCTATTTTGTTTTGAGAAAACCCTGCCCGATCTGATCATCAGCAGTTAAAAGCAATCAAACAATATTCTCCTCATTCTCCTCACTCCCTTCATTTTGATCACGTGTTAACAATGTCCTCTTCATCACTCGCCTGACTGTTAATCACGTGGTACTCCCCACGTGATCCACCGCAACACCAGGGCTCCTCGAACAGCTCGTACATGGTGGCTGGGGTTTTCCCTTTGGTCTCAGGCACCAGGCAGATGACGAAGAAAAGACCCAGCACTGACAGAATTCCGAACAGCATGAACACGTACTTTATCTGAAGAAAGAGGTTTAAATACTTTTAAGTTTTAAAGGATTGATTAAAGATGGGTTATACACACTGTAAACGGATAGGATTATTATTTTATTGACTGCTATTATCTTGCTATATTTACTAGGGTTTCAACAACATCGTCACAGTGTGTTGCGTGCCAGTGAAACTGTTATCTAGAAATGGAATGACGTGATACCCGATAATGCAGCTAGGAAGTCACGAGTTACAGAACTTGTCCTTGTTGGCTTGGAATTTGAGCAGATAAGAAATGTTTCTACACATTCTTTTGCAAATATACTCAGTTCATAGCTTGTTTAGGTTAGGTACCCTGGCCTAGGTAACATCTAGGTCAAATCTATAATGAAATTTATGGAAAGCAGCTGACAAGAAATTGTTTGCAGCTCAGTCACAAAAAACTCCTGAACACGCCGGCGAAACTCGCATAATATCACCGTATCTTTGAAAGTTTGAGTCACAAGATTTACGAATAGATAAGAAAACACACTATTTCTAAAGCTCACCCCTATAATAGGATATAATTCTCCGAACGAAAGAGACACAATAGCAGTCATACTGTAGTAAGTAGAGACTGAGATACTTGTGAACATGTCCCGCAGATGTTGGGGGAATATCTCCGCAGCTATGACGAAGGGGATGGGGGCTAGTCCGATGGAGAAGTATATAACGAACGCTATGATCGACAACACTGAAAATGTTGGGGGTAAGGTACTTACTTTACTGGAAACTGCTCTACAGATATTAACTAAATATTTCAATCCTAAATCATGAAAGCTATAATTTATTGCTGTAGTAATTGAGGAGTTAATAAGCTCCGGCACTGACCTAAGAACCAGTTACTTTTAGAGTGACAGTCAGTGGATGTGTAGGTCCCCCCGTGGGTCTCACATCGGTCCAGGATAGAGTGGGACACGTTACCGTCTATACAGAACCCAGTCTAGATGGAGATATTATATAATATTAGACTCACAGTTTGTAACCATTTTTATATCGTTCAATGTCTTGTTGATTATTTCAGACCATTGTTTTCAATTACGATACCATGCAGGGTGCTGTTATTTTGTCGAGAGAAATACTCACAAACGGAATGTTTGGCAAAAACTCAATTTGTATCGTATCTTGATACGAGTTGTATATCTTGATACGAGTTGTATCAAGATACGAGTACAAATTACTAAAAAATGTCTCACCGAGCCAAGAGTAGTGTTGAACTGACAGAACCCACATGCTTGCTGGGCCACACAGGAGGTACAGGTGTCAACCAAACACTCGGTATTAACAACACTCGGCCACGGGTCTGAAATGTAATTAATAATTAGTGGGTTCAGAGAGTAGGTGGTGAATGAAAATGGGATCAAGGCAGTGAGTATTGATAAATTCATGTTATTTCATTTTTATTCACACAAGCTTTATTCAGCCGCTCTGACATGGTTAACCACCTTCCTTGTGTTGTTGGTTAATCATATGAGCGGGATATAAATACCTTATTTCATTTAAAGTAAAGACCAAATTTGTATACCATCTGGGTCCTGGGCTTTATTTGAATTAATATTTGTAATAAGCTTAAGTTCAACCATATTAAAATTTAAGAGACTTTAAGAGACTTCTTTGAGTTCTTACCATCACTCATGGCCATGGAGTCAACCAGGAAGAGTGCAGTAACAATGAGGGCAATAGAGCATATCGTACCAATCTGGGATATCAGCAGCAGCCTTCTTCTACCTAACCGTTCTATTAACAGTAGCGATATCAACACACCTAGAGGATGGAGCACATTGTTAGTAAGTTAGTAAGTACAAGTTAGTAAGTTAGTAAGTACAAGTAAGTAAGTTAGGATGGACTGGTATTTAAAATATCATGCCAGATTCTAACACCGAGCTCAGAGTCATTGTCTGAATTCTAAGTTACACGCTTGTTTCTAAAGAGGCTAATCTCAGCGTTGCTAAATGTCACATAGGACAAACATCGATTACTATGAGTACAATCATTGTACTGGCGTGACGCATAATGCCTTACCACCTATATAATGTACATGCAGTTTATTAGTCTTGACATACTTTGGCTTTTTATAAATCGTACTGAAACTTGTTATCAACTCTCCACTAGTGAGCCTCACAACTGTTACTTTACATGCTTAGCCTCTTAAAGACCATATATAATATAATACAAAATTGACGTTTGTTTAGTAATGTTCCTGAGAAACGCTAGTATGTATACTGTATACTAATGTTACAAGTAACAAACATCAATATTCCATGAGGTAAAGAACTTAGCATATCAAATTATGAGCATTCTGATAATTTAAGTAGGTCACAGCATTTTTGGAACCAGCCTACTCTTGTAAATATGGTGCAAGAACATCAATCTGTACCTTTCTCAGGTAACCTGTCAGTTTTAAGTAATATCAGGCTCATATCCGTTATTTTTTAGCATGTTTAGCAGTCCTGAACATAATGATCGCCTCGGAGCTTAGATACTAACACAATAAATGAGGAATTTAAATTGTACCGCTATAAATCATTAAATGTAACCCTTTTAATCTACGAATTAAGACTATTAGATTATAAATCGTTAATTGAAGTGGTATTACACAGAGCTGTGATTTGTGTTTGTACTTTAATTAGTACAGCTTTCTTCATTATAAGCTCTTTCACTTTAAAGATATAATTAAATGTTATCATTCATTAATTTAATCTCAAACATTCAATCAAATAAAGGAGATCGTTATCATACAAAGTTATCTTACAACTAAAGTGGATTGATTTAAAATAAGAAAAGGATCAAATTTCAATAAATACTTTAAAATCTTAATATAGGCAAACACCAAAGTGTAACTGTAGAGTTACATACCCACAAAGTTAGCTACGAAAATTCCCTCGCTGACAAGGAATACCCCTGTGCTGTCATTACCGTCACCAATGCCACTTGTGTGACCAATCTGGACTGAATAGTACCTGAAGGAAGAAGAATTAAGTAAGACTTATTGAAAACTAAATGAAGAGTAAAGAAAGTCAGAATTACTGCCTTGCATTTCTATTCGATGAGGGGACTCGACTGGTGATAATTATCAATAAGTTAGTTATCGTATTTCCCCATGGTGGGTATAAGACACTGGGTGGAAGACACAAGAGCAGAGGAAATGAGGGCGTAGAACACAATGGCGGTACTTTCCTAAAAGGGTTGGCACGAGAGCGAATCGTGTCTGGTTCTTTAGAAGAACTGATAGACTCGTTGGGTCGAAACGCATAAATGTATTTTTGATGAATAAAACTCGATTATATTACCTAATAACTTAAGATTGATGCTAGTTAAAAGGTCAAGATGATGGGAAATTCAGGACCAAAGTTGGTTTTGTAAGGCAGGACTCGCGGTAATCTATTAGGATCGAGTATTTCTTTAGGTTTTTAAAACAGTTTTGACTGATAGTCATATCTGCATTTAACAATCCATTTAACAGTCTATTCACGATTACATTTAAATTAAGATTATATCTTAATATTTATAATTTTAGTGTTTGTTTAGCTTATCAGTAGTTTTAAAAGCACTACATGTTAAATTGATGTAGAAAACAGGCCTTACACTATGTTTTAAAACTACTGATAAGCTAAACACTGAAATTAACCCTATTCGTAACGTAATCTTAATTTAAATGTAACCCTTGCTGGATAAAATAGACTGTTAAATGCAGATATGACTATTGACTATCAGTAAAAACTGTTTTAAAGACCTAAAGAAATAGTCGACCCTAATAGATTACCCCAAGTCCTACCTTACACGATTAGATTCGAATTTTACCGCAAATCCTGTTTAAAATCACAAGGTGTTAAGATTTAATTAAGTTAATTATCATTCCGAATTTTACTCACATAACAGCTGAAAAACCGGAAACTTGTCCAACAATGATGAGCCCCAGAGCCACAGTTACCATCCGTCTCACAATACTACGGTTTATCTTCGGCTTTCGCTTCTGCGGTATATCACGTCACTGGTCACGTCACTGTGACGTCACTGTGACGTCACTAGTCACGTCACTGGTCACACAATGCAACTAATAGCACGTCACTGGTCACATAATGCAACTAATAACACGTCACTGGTCACATAATGCAACTTTGGCCAATTGCCTCGACAGATGCACCAAACTTTCTAAAATCCAGTTGTTAAAGTTGGAACCTTACTAAGATCAAACATAAAAAGTCATATTATATATCATAAATGATTATCCCCTAAAAAGATTATATAATTCATATTTCAAACCGTTTGTATTGCCGTTACAGAGGAACTGTCGTCGTCATCTTTTTCAGCGTTAATATCTAGAAGCTTCTTGTACTGGGCTCTAGTGAGGTCTACATACAGCTTATCAGCTTCTCTTTGTGACAGCTCCAGTTTATCTAACGTTATTAATAACATATTTGTTAAATATTTGGCAAATTTTTAAGACAATAATGCTATTTTTGTAAAATTATTCGTTATCAAAATTATGAGATCAGCGTTCTACAACGTTGTCTTACCGTTAGCGTAGAGCCACTTGTAGGACATGGGTATAGGTATCATGAGTAGTAACTGTAGAGCACAGGGGATAAGACTGGAGCCCAGCATCAGCCTGACAAATCATAATTAGGGACTTAGATTAACTAAAACTTAGATTAACTTGTTACAGCCTACAGGCCCTTGCGGTCAACATTGAGCCGACTTATTCATTATTCTTCATCTCACTAAATCAAGGACAAGATATTTCTAAATGATGTGTATAATAATTAAGGGTAGAAACTAAAAAACTAGGCAAACATACAATTTTATGTAAACCAGAATGAAGTATTGTTTACAACACAATATTATAACAAATTTATATGATATATAATATAGATAAAACACTATCATCAAAACAAATCGGTAAACATGAGACGGTTCCATCATTGTCAGTTTTACACAGGTGGCCTTGGATAGCTTGAAAGAAAGAAAAAAGAAAGAAACGAAGTGGTGATCAAAGGGCAAGATCAATGATTCGTTATCCTTTAAACACTTTGAGGAGACATCCGACAAAGTTATGATGAACTGATGGAGCTAACTGTCAACAAAAGTGAGAAAATCAACGTGGATAAAGTTAATAAAGCTGATTTACAGCTGATAAAAGAAGAGACTCGCTGCTGTGCTGAACATTGAAGTTGTTTTGTAGAGGAATATGAGCTTAAATCTCATAACAGCTTTATTTTTTGCTACAGGTCAGTAATATTATGTCTTATAATATTATTTAATGTACGTGTTCATTGTAAATACAAGTTACAACTAAAGTGTTTCGGGAAATCAAGTTAATAATTACAAAACTATACTTAATGCAAAACGTTTTCACTTTGTTTACATGATTGCCAATCCTTGATATTATATACTTATTACTTAGGGAGCAATGTGTTTTGTTTTTATCTAACTATGATGGGAAATTATATCAATATCATTTTTAATCAGGCTGTGCCTACGGAATTCAGTTCGGCGAATGGAAGACATTACCAGGTCTGTTGACTCATGTGACTGCTGGTAAAAAGGGAGTATGGGGAGTGAACAGACAAGGAAACCTGTACCGGCTTGATGGAAACAACTGGACACAATTGGGAACGGGAGGTTGGTGGACTGTGTCCAGTGGCGGACGTAATATCTGGGCAACTAGAAAGGATCACACAATAAGACGGGGAGACGGGAAAGATTGGCAGACAATCCCTGGAGGTCTGGTACAGATAGAGTCCAGTGAGGGTGATAACACCTGGGCAGTTAATGTAAACCATGATATCTACAAATACAACGGAATGAACTGGCAACATATCCCTGGTAAGTTGGCCCAGATCAGTTCTGGAGAGGCAGGTGTTTGGGGAGTGAATTCTGGAGGTTGGTCCTACTACAGACCCAACACTTACGGTGACAATCCTACAACTGGGGGGAACTGGCAACATGTCTCCAGTTCTCCACAGTTGAGGTGGATAGCATCAGGGACGGGAGTTGTAGTGGGAGTAGATAAAGACGGGAACCTGTACTACAGATCCGGGATAAGTGTAGCCAGCCCAAATGGAAGCAGCTGGGTTAAAGTTACCAACGTCTCCGGCATGAAGCAAGTGGATATCTTCCACTCAATGATTATTGGAGTTGATACAAACGACCAAATAAAGTACTCCCTCATTCGTTAAATGCTTTCATTATTTTAAAAGTACATTTTGGATTATAGTTCAAGGGGGCTATATTTATGAGTCGCATTTGAACAATTCAATAAAGTTTCTAGCCTAAAGTCTGTTTCTTCATTTTGTTCGCATCTTTAAGAGTCAAAAGATAACTTCTCCAAGCAAAATCAAATTTTGGATTATGTGTTTCATTTATAAATGTTGAGATTTTATTATTTGTAAACAAGATCGGCTAGATCGCCATGATCTAATTCAAGTACACTTAACATGGGATACAGTAGAAAGTAGAGGCCTGGCTTTATCATACTGTGTGCATTTAATTTCTGGTATAAAAAGAATTTGGCACGATTTGTATGGTTATTCAATATTCATGTCATCTTTTAAGAACCAAACTGTTGTATAATCCATGACATACATGAATACAGCTGAACTCTGCTCATTCCGAGTTATTCACAAACAATAGACCTTTAGTAGCATGTCTGCACTGAGCACTAAACGGTTGTACAATGTACATGCATGGACCATTACAATAAGAGATTAAAACCCACTGTTATTTAAGTTAGCATACCTCCACTCGGAGCTGCCAACACTTTTAGAAATAGCAAGATTAACCAGTCCAGACACACTGTTACCAAAGGGTTTTACCATCTGATTAGCAACCAGTATCTTTCCTCTCATGTAGGAGGGTGTCAGTTCAAGAAGGTACACTAAGCTGGTCACGTGACCCATACCTGTAACACAGCGTTTTAGTGATTGTCAAATTACAGAAACTTTAATCTTGTCGTTTAATTAGATTTGTAAAATATACATCATGGGGAGAAATTTTTGATGAGATATATTATCATATTTTGTGCTCCCATACAAAAACCATTCAAGAAATAATTCAAGCAAAATTACCAAAACCAAAATTGCACAAGCTTCTCCCAACCATAAGAATGCTATAGGTTGGAGTTATCAGCATAATACAAAGAGTCAATCCTAATCCGTAGAACCCAACACTGACGAGAATTGACACTTTTCTTCCTAGTTTGTTCTGAAGGTATCCTCCAAATAAACCCCCAGCTATAGCAACAAAAATTGGCAGACTGACTAGCTCCTGAAATAAAGTGTAGTGAAATTGGACTCTTCAGAATTATTTATCATCTATTAAATTTATTTGTGAAAAAGCCACAGCGTAATGGATCATAACACTGCAATTGAGTAAATTTAGCATTAAATTATTAAATTAGCAATCATTTAAGGGAGACCTTGCTAAAATTAAATCTTAACAACTAACACTGTATTGAGCATCAGTCAGTATTTTCTTCTCCAACCACCCAAGTGAGGCTCCTCCTAGTGCCCCACGGTCATATCCGAATAGCAACCTTAAAAATACCACGTGAATTACTATATCGTATGTCTGTATGACAATAATTAATGACACTTACAAATCTGTATTCTAAATGTGGTACAAAACCATGTTATACTTATCATTATATACATGGTGTTGCAGTTCTAGTTGTAGCAGGGGTGTAGGAATGATTTTCTTCATGGGGGGGGGGGGGGGGGGGGGGGGCCAAATTCTAAATATTTTTTGGCGCTTCGCGCCAAAGCCTGAATTTCGAGGGTAAGGAAAAAAAAACCCGAAAAATATATTTTTGGCTCATAATGATCAGGGTAGCATGAAACATGAACAAAAGTAGTTTCCAAGAACACTTTTTAAAATTTTGACTTAGAAAATTTTCGGTCCGAGTCATTCACGATACGTACCTCTGAAAGCAGAGCTCCCGCTTCCGAGCTCATATTACGAAGGGGAGGCCTGCCTTCCGAAATCGCATCACAAAGGGGAACCCTCGAGTCCAAAATCGTATATCGAAGGGAAGGTGCGGACTTCGAAAACCGAAAAAAATATTTTCGGCTCAGAAAGATCAGGGTAGCATGAAACATGAACAAAAGTAGTTTCCAGAAAAACTTTGAAAAATGTTGACTCAGAAAATTTTCGGTCCGAGTCATTATCAGAGTCATCATCAGAGCTTCCGAGCTCGTATTGCGAAGGGGAGGCTTGCCTTCCAAGATCGCATTACAAAGGGGAAACTTCGAGTCCAAAATCGTATATCGAACTTCGAAAACCGAAAAAAATATTTTTGGCTCATAATGATCAGGGTAGCATGAAACATGAACAAATTTAGTAGTTTCCAGAAAAACTTTGAAAAATTTTGACTCAGAAAATTTTCCGTCCGAGTCATTCTCGATACGTACCTCTGAAAGCAGAGCTCCCGCTTCCGAGCTCGTATTGCGAAGGGGAGGCCTGCCTTCCGAGATCGCATTACAAAGGGGAACCCTCGAGTCCAAAATCATATATCGAACTTCGAAAACCGAAAAAAATATTTTTGGCTCATAATGATCAGGGTAGCATGAAACATGAACAAAAGTAGTTTTCAAGAAAACTTTGAAAATTTTTGACTTAGAAAATTTTTGACTTAAAAAAATTTTGACTTAAAAATTTACGGGGAAAAAAATTTTTCCCAAAAATTTTTAGAAGCCTAAATTAAAAAGTTGGCCCTTTTTGGCCCCTTGCCCAGATTTCATGGGGGGGGGATGGCCCCCCCTGCCCCCCCTCTTCCTACACCCCTGAGTTGTAGTATCCTATAAGTTTATCTTGATAAAATTGTCATCGAGAAATACTCTTGAGGCACTATTTCTAGCACACGAGTACTGACACCCTTTACTTTGTATTTTAGATGCTGCAGAAACAATTGGTAAGCTAGTAAAAAGCACTTCCACCAATTGAAAATATAGAAGAGATGTGAGTGAAATTTAATGACCATTTATTTTATAAAAATTACCTGGTAAGTGTAATAGCAAAAACTATTACAATGAACTTAAAAGTCCTCAATCTAGGCTGATCATTATTAATGAGCCGTGTGGTATCCTCGTCTACCATGATTCTGTCCTTATTTGAGTTTAAAACTGAGGTGCCAGTTCACATCAATCCAATATTCAGACCTTGTTGACCATTCATTATACAGTAAGATTCTGGATCATTTTCATTTTCTAGCGGACCATTTTTTACCTGTTCCAAGTAACCAAAATGTAAGTTATTAGATAATTTAAGTTTTCAATGAGTGTCTGAGTATGTCGAAGTCTAACAGTTTAAAGGTTATACTGAATTAACATCGAAATAGAATCTGGTTAGAATGATAAGAATAACAAGGCTTACGGCATTTAAAAGACAGTCTTACATTAACTAACTTAATTGATCATTTTTAACACTTTGAAAGTTCAAATTACAGGTATTAAAGAGTAAACTAATATATATTATATATTATAGTATTGAAACAGCTAGAAAAATAAGTCACAAACAACAAGCTAAAAACCTGGTGTTTTCATTTTAATGGGAGTAAGGTAACAAGCACAAGAAAGACCAAAAATTCAATTTTTAAAACTGATCAGTTAGATAAACATATTTTTTTTTATCTACGGGTATATGGCCCCCAGAATATAGGTGGCCCCCAAAATATAGGTCATGTTAGTGGATACAGTTCTAACCAAGATAAGCGATACTAATGGGATCTGTTGCTGCTAGGTTGGAGTAAAACATGTAACTAATGTTTCTGAATAAAAATTTGGGACCTACATGAGGTATTTTGGTATATTTGGTCATGACAGCGAAAGATTTTAACGATGTTGTCATTTTCTAGAGGGGTAAATATGGCGAAAAATTGTCATGACAAAAATCTGTCCAACACATGCCATTAAGGCTACTGGTATGAGTATAAGTATTATTTTAAGCTATCTTTTCATCGAGACATCTGCAAACTGACAATTTGGAAAAAAGTTATGGCCACCACGATTTTACGGGCCCCCAGAATATAGGTCTATACGACCCCCAGAATATAGGTTGGTCAAAAACCCTGAACATGCCCAAAACCATGCTTTGGGATGCTCTACTTGTAGCTACTAGTCTCCTGAACACACATATTGAGTTTTATCAAAATTGGATAAAAATTGGCCGAGTTATGGGATAAAAACAAAAACCATATGCCCATATTTGGGCATACGCACCAAATTTGATCGATTTTGGTCCATAAATTGGTCAAATATCAATATTTTTGAATGAAACCAACTTTATATGGAAGTTAGCATATATATTACACATTCTCTATGATTATCAGCTCAATATCTACCTAACTGTGGATTCTGTGTTCAAATAATCGCAAAAAATGAACAAAATCGCTCATATCTCAAACTGACTTCGCTCAAAACAATAGAACTCAATAGGGTTTCAATATTTTCACATGAAATTTTCAGAATCAACGTAGAATTGTCTCATGACCTTAAGTTTTGGGACAGAATTTTGAGTAAGGCCTTTAAAAAAATTTGGCGGCCAAAAATGTCTGATTTACAGTCATTGAGGTGCACATCGTATTGATACAGATAAAAACAGCCCCCCTCAATCATATCTAGGGACACTCCTTCAATCTTATTTAAGTATTTAGTTAAGATCCCTACTAAATGAGTGCATGAAAGCTTTTTAACTAGTAAAATTAAAGATTTTACTCATTACGGGTATATGGCCCCCAGAATATAGGTTTTTAAAAAAAATAGCGACCAAGATTCTGCATTTTCTCTGTCACCCTGAGCATTAAGGAATGTGGGGTAGTGATGAGAAACAGTTAAAGAACATATGCTGAAGAGATGGCATCATCAAAATGTATGAAGGTGGAGTATTTGAGGACGATTTTTGCATACCTATATTCTGGGGGCCGTAGTTTTTGATTTTTTGCTATTAAGTATACTCTAAACCATTTCAATTTAGTATCTGGAGCCATTGGCATCATCAATACAGTCTCAGCAACATATTCTGACTGCATATAACTGTCTGTGACAATTTTAGAACAACTTAGGAACAGATGTTTGGACCTATATTCTGGGGGCCCTGTTAAAAAATGGTATTTTTACAGGTGAAAAAAAAGTACACTTAAAAACCTAATAATTATTTTCAACTACCCAAGAAACATTTAAAGGGTTATTATGTTCATATTTACAGCCCTAAACATGCTTAGAAGTAGTTTTAACACCTGTTTCTAAGTGCTCAAAAAACGACCTATATTCTGGGGGCCATATACCCGTAGACACTTATTTTACTTCGGTGTATTCCAACAGCCACAATGTTACACAAGTGCAACCAGCCAATTACAGGAAGCCGAAGGATCTTTTTTGGCCAGTGACGGTTAAGGTAGTGTGTACCATACTTTCTTCGTCCGAGACTTTGCTGCAATGTGCAGCTCCTCATTTAACCCTCACACCCGATTTCTCGAGTATTCGGCTGAGTAGACCGGGGGGCTGCATAGACCACTCATGATCCTTAGCTGAACGTCGACGAGGCTCACCCCACGACCAGGCAGTCAGTGGGTTTCGAACTCGCAACCTAACGATTGTAAGACAGGCGTTCTAACCAACTGCGCTACCTGGCCGCTAAAAAAAAATTATTCACATTGATACAATAAAGGTTGTTAGCAAGAAGTTTTACAATATCCTACACTAACAAAAAAGTGGATGGAAAAGATGTCGAAGAAATGATCAACATATTCCAGAAGTACGAAACATAACATAACAATATAACATTATAAATAATGCCTCTCTGGGCATCTCAAAAATGAAAAGAAACAAACAAAGTTGAACAAGGTAATCAAAAAAATGTAAAGATGTTTTTTTTAATATGATTGGACAGCTGAACTTGAGAATAAATTGGGTTAGGATAGGTCAAGATTTTGTTCCCAGGAAAATTCAATAGAAGAATGGAAAAAGTATTTAGAAATGATACGACAATACCAAAATCGGAGAGTTCAATGAAACAATGAAACAAGAAATTTAATTTTAGCACATTTTTACAAAATAAAAAATTTAAAACAATTCATAAAATATAATGCCCATTTGGTGTATGACTTTTTGTAAATGAGAATATACAAATTACACTACTAGAAAGAATATATGAACATGAATTTCTTTTCAGCACATAAGAGAATGGAGGTAAATAAATATAAAATAACCAAATGGTTCTGAGTAATTATAGTCATATAACAAAATTGTAAACGGTAAAATAGCAGACACCACTAATGACTAATCACTGCACTATTTACCTGGGGACCTCAGGCTATTATGTTCATAAACGTAACAGATTCGGCGGAATGACAGGCTGAGCGCGGCCCAGTAATGCACTATAAATCCATGAATTTTGATGAAATCTTGTGCACTTTTCAAATGCGCGGCGTAGCGTGTGCACTCAAATTCAAATAAAAATTTACCTGAGGACCTTAGGCTATTGTATTTATGTTCATAATAGAGATTCAGTGGAATAACAGGCTGAGCACGGCCCAGTAAATAAAAATATGAAATTTTCAATTGGCAAATTGGCAAATTGTTAAATTGTCAACGCAACTTGCCAACTTTACTTAGCTTAATAATAAATATGACCGTATAAGTAAGTTTAATTTCTTGTTAGGGTCCGGTTTCAGCAAATACTTTGTTAGGCATTAGGTTAGGGACCCGTTAGGGTCCGAGTTGGGATCAAATTATAAAGTTCTGGGTTACTAGTGTAAGGTTTCGAAGAGTCGTTCAGGACTTGTAGCGCGATGCACTACTGGTGGGTCGCGCGCGCGCATCCAATAATGCTTCTCGCAACCAGATGCAGATCGGCGAGATGCGAAGAATTGACCATTGACATCGTGAATCAATTCAGGACTTGACGGATGTTATATTACTCGTCTAAATTACTTCGAAGTAGCGCGCCGCTTTCTTCTCGAAATGCCCGATGGCACGAGCTACGAAGTAGCGCACGCCGGGCCAAATCATTAACAATGGTCAAGGGGTCTCCATGCAGTACAGGTAGCCCGTAGCAGTAACACTTAACTAAATGCAGAAACAGTGCTTCAGCTTTATAAATTTACTTGAAAAGTTAAACTAAAGTTAGCTAAAGTTAAACTAAAGTTAAACTAAGTAGCTAAACTTAAAGCATAAAGGTAATATTAATAAAGTAAGTACAAAGTAATCAGATCAACTAAAGTGATGGAGTTTACGTGAGGTCATATGCAGTTGCCAACTTGCAGTCATATCATGCGGGGGTAACGCAATTACGTGAAAGGTCTCAAATATAATGTCGTGAAGTTGATATATAATAAACACGGAAACTTCTGGTTTTCAGAATTTTCGGGCAAAACGATATTTGACGATGTTTGAAGTAGTATCGAGACCATTGCATGATGCATGTTATAGTAATAAATACGGTCTGGAGGAAAATTATGGTTAAGATAATTATGAATTATAATTTTTTTATAAGTGTGCTATGAACATGAAATTTAAAAACTAGAACAGATTATTCCCTGGATCAGCAGAAATGAATGTTACATGTTAGCAAACTGGAGCAGCTCGATCTATAACTGAATTTAATCTTCAAATGCTCAGCCTCAAGAAAGAGTATTGCGGTTTTTAAAACCGCAGAGTCTTATAGTTATTACTTTATAAAACAGACAGCTTGAAGTTGAACCGTCGTGTCTCAACATTCCCCCTTGGCCCTTGTTTATTTTATATAATACGTACATATTATAACAATGTTTAACTTTAAGTGCATACATGAATGTGTTCGTGAGTGAGTTTCTAATTCTACGGAAGTTTTTTAGGACAGCTTGAAGTTGAACCGTCGTGTCTCAACATTCCCCCTTGGCCCTTGTTTATTTTATATAATACGTACATATTATAACAATGTTTAACTTTAAGTGCATACATGAATGTGTTCGTGAGTGAATTTCTAATTCTAACTTGTATTAATAATATTAATACAAGTTAATATGGTTCGTAAACAGTAAATAATATGACTGGTTCTATAATTCAAGAGATCGATTTACCGGATACCACAAAACTAACTAATTAATGCAGGTAAAGACTACAGACACCATGAATCATTGTAAACTAAGAATGTCTAACTGTCTTACTAAATCAATGTTCATCAGTTGATACTTGAATTTCTTAAACGACCAGGAACCTATACCGTCCTACCTCCACAATTTACTCCGAAG